CTGGAACTCCTCTGTAGACCAAGCTAGTCTCGAACTCACAGAGATCCACCTGCCTCTGCCTCACAAGTGCTGGGATTAAAGGCGTGCGCCACCACTGCCCAGCAGCTATCACTAAATTCTTACATTTAAATATTGCTAACCCTAAAGACTCTCCATAATGCCTTAAACACAGTATAGGTTTTAAACTGGCCTTCAGAAGCTGGGTGTTGTGGTACATACTTTTAATTCAAGCATTTAGGAGAACCTATGATGAGATCAAGACCAACCTGGCCAGCCTGGGCTATATAGCAAGACTCTGTCTCAGTATTTCCAGCCCCAAAACAACACCCCCCAAAAAAAAGCAATAAACCACAGCTTTCCAATGCCGTCTGCTGAGGCCATCCCTGTGAAGTTATATTGCTCTTTGACCATTATCCTTTTTCAAGAGCTGTTCATGTCAGTAAACACTACATACTTACCATTCCCAAGTAGGACATCCACAGCCACAGTTGTCAGGTCTTTAGTACAAGCAGTCTTGATGTCTTCAGTAGGAGCAACGAATGTGCTAAGTCCTGTTTTTCTGTTGATGTAAACCATCCTTCCCAGAGTTACATCAAAATGCTGCTGCCAACCCATAGAATATGCATTTGAGTCTTCATTTTCGGAACAAGATTTCGCTTTAGATTCTGCATTCTGGGAACAAGTTCCATCTTGGCTTGCTGTGGTATCTTCTACCTGACTCATGATCACTCTACAGGGAGAATGAGGACCTCCTGAATGTTGCTCTGAAGACCTGGCAAGAACATCTGAATCTTTACTGATTTCAGAGTCATTACAGGGTAACAGCAGCAAAGGAGTTTCTGGTTTCTCTGTTCCATCCATTATGTTGCTAGAATATATCGCACTGTTATGAATGGAATTATCCTGTGTGGCAGAATCTGTTATTAGGAGCATGTCACTCTCACATTTATTTTTAAGTAATTCACAAACATGTAAGTCTGACCTAGCGCCCCGGCTATTGTCTGTCCAACTGGAATCCGAATCTGGAAGTTCACAGATATGGCCTGTCATCTCCATTGTTTGCATTTCTTTTTCGGAACCTTTCAGTCTGGATAATTTAGAAGCCAATGATTCAGCAGACTTCTCAACATTGGAAGGTTTTCTGCGACAGTGAGGTAATTCTGCCAGAGTAATAGGACTTTCTCTCAGATGAGGCATGTGTTCTAAGCAATCTTCTTTGGAAAATGGAACTTTCTCTATGTACAGGATGGGACTTACTGGTTGACAAGAACCATATGAATCACTGTGCTCCACAGTGGTGCTCTTACAAGCATCAGGCATATCTAAGTGGCCCTTGTCTTTCAGTAGAATGTCAGTTTCAATCTGAGCATCTTGATGGGTCCTGACTTCAGTATTACTTCCCCCCTCTGTATCTAGAGATCTGTTAACCTTCCCATACTGCCTCTTAAACTTCTCTAAAGATCCTACTTGTGAACGCAAGCTTAGCTTCCTATGGACTACGTGTTTGGAGGGACACCTCATCTTATCTGTTTTCTTTTCTGAAGTATGTCTGTACCTCGGGAAGGAGGATGTATCAGGCAAAAAGCAATCTCTGTGGGATCCTGAGCCACCGTCCTGAAACAAAGCCAAGTTCTCCTCCACTGCTGCTGGGCTGTCCTCTGCCACATAATCTGTATTTGTCCTGCACAATTTTTTGTGGAGATGAGCAGGTTCTTTACTCAAAGTGCTTGTTAAATCGCCGTTGCCTGGAGTCTCGACTACGTGGTGTACTCTATTTGCAAACGTTTCTTGGGCACTTACGGGACCAGGACGAACATAACTTTTAAATGAATGCTCTGCTTCAGTTGACTTGGTGTGCTGCTTTTGTACCACGTGAGTTATAAAGCCAGTGGAGCACAGTTTAACTCGACCATAATTAAAAACATTTCCTCTTCCACGACTACTAGGCTCTTTTTTTCTTTTTTCCTTCTTTCTCTGTATACCCTGTACTCTAAGTACTGCTGTCTCAAAAGGCAGAGGTTGGTTCCCCACTTCGGTAGCATCTTTACATTTCTCCAGTGGACTCTGAATCCCACCATTTTGGGGAATGTCGGCAGCCATGACATTAACAGCAGTACTTATTTTCTGTATTTCTAGATCTGCCTCACCCTCCTCAAAGAGATGATGTGTCCGAATAGGGCTTGGAAACATTTTTGGGCTAGTCCCATGTGGACTTTCTGAGGTCCTATGTTCCAAGAAAGACTTCTGATGTTTCTCGTTTTCTCCAGATGGTGATGCTTCTTCCAACACCCTTGATTCTAAGTGAGCGCTGTCTCTGCTATGTAACGAAAGCTCTTCCATCTTACTATGGCCCAGGCCATGTGCTTCACAACTGCGAGATGAGTCATTTGTCTTCTTTCTGATAGCTTCTGAAGCCCCAGAATTCTGTGTGTTTGTATTTTTTATGGTAGCTATTCTTTTCACAGCTTTTGACTGCAAATTAAACATTTCATAGGAATCCAAAATATTATTGCACGCTTCCTGGAAACTGTTCTGTTCACACTTCTCTTGAGTGGATGAATGTGTTTGAAGAGTAGTACCCAACAAACTGAAATCATTATCTTCATTAAATTCCTTAATATCTTCACCTGATAATTCTACAAATAGTTTTTCTTGCTTTAAAAACCTTTTCACTCCTTCCTGAATACAAACCAACAGGGTATCCCAGTCCTGAAACTCAATCAGAGTTTTGGCTGGCTCCATGCACACGTCATACTCACAGAACTGGCACTGCACATTGATTACATATATCCCATGGAGTTCAGAGGCAGAACGATGTCGAGGACTTGAATTCATTTGTCTACTGGCAGAGCCATTCTTTGGCCTGCATATAATGCTTTCTTTTCTTAATAAAAAGTCAATGAGTTTATGCAACTTTGTCCTTAAAACTAGTCTTCTATTCACAAACAAAAACTGCATATTCTTATTGTAGTGTGCTTCAGAGCTAATGTAGCCACTAAACTCAAACTCCTTATATTTAAAATGTATTTCTCTTAACTTTTGGGACTTGCCCAATCCATAAATTTGACAAAATCGAGAACATATGTCTTTGGTTTTGGGGAGTTGGAGGACCATGGCACCAGAAACATCATTCCTCAGAGAGAAAGAGATGGAAGGGTGCATGAGTGACAGGGCTTCTACCCTCTGCCTAACCTTCTCAAACTCGAGCCGTGGGTCCATGCTTTTCCTCCTCACAGGGAACTGGGAAAACAGGTTATACACTGTTACTGTCGTCCCCACACTTGGTCTAGTCAAATCAGCTTCACAAACATTTAGGGCTTTTCCATTCTGAAACATTTTCACAAAGGTTTTCATAGTTGTGTTTTTCTTGGATAAAATTTCCACAGCACTAGCCATGTCAACTATACTTGCCAAGGCCTCTCCTCGGAAGCCATAAAACTTTGGGTTCTCCAAGTCCTGTACTGCGCTGCACTTACTAGTAAAATACCGATTTCCTACCTTCTCTACGTCATCACCCAGCATCCCAAACCCATTGTCTACCACTTGAACTTGGAAGGTCTCCATATTCACTCTGATGGCCACACATTTTGCTTCCGCATCAATACTATTGAGGATAAGTTCCTCAACACATTGGCCTAAGGAGATTATGGCCAAACCAGAACGCAATTTGGCTTGTACTTCATCTGACAAACACTTGATCATGGCAGATAGACATGAGGAGAGAATGCCATACACGGGCTTCCTTCTCTGACAGGAAATAAACACCTATGGGGGAAAAAAAAATAACCTATCACACCTCAGTTATACAGCATTACCAACTTCTCTCAAGGATTATGAAGAACTACAGTTAGAGGAAAACAAACTATTAAACCAAAATATGAAACACAAGTATACTTCTAATTTCTAGACAGCACACAAAACTCATGCCTGGTATAATGAACTTCAATTCCAAAGAAGCATTCATAATTTCATAATTTTCCCTGTTCCTAAAGTGAATGCCCTAAAGTAAAATCATAATTATACTTGATGTTGAACCGTAAAGACACTATTCAAAATTCTAAGCACTTTACTAAAAACAGATGCCTAAATTAAATTCAGTTAAGAAACATTAGCTAGAAATTATTCATGAAAAAAAAGTCCAAGCTAGTTTCATAACGTTTAGACATTACACAATATCCATGACTTTTGGAAACCTTTGATGTGCTAAGGCACTGTAAGTAAAAAACGTAAACAACAGGATGGAATTAAAGTCAAACATATCGAGGAGAGGCAGATATTAAACGATTACTATTGTCACATTACTTTCTCAAGAGGAGGACGTCGGGGTAGGTGGGGGAGTGGTGGCGGGGAGAAGAATAAAGCAGGAAAATTTCTTTGTCTATACATTTTTTGTTTTGTTTTTTACCATTTGCTATTTAAATCCTGCTCCTGGGCGGTGGTGGTGCACGCCTTTAATCCCAGCACTTGCAGAGGCAGGCGGATCTCTGGGAGTTCCAGGCCGGGCTGGACCGACAGCCTCCAAACAATACCGAGAAACCCTGTCTCGTAAAAAAAAAAAAAAAAAAAAAAAAAAAATCCTGCTCCTGTGTTGTCTGATAGTTTGCTGAAAAGGCCTGATTACTAATATTCTTTTTTATTGATACTCACGGTCTCTATATACCTCCAGAACACAGTTTGGCAATAATGATGGTATAGGGTTGTCTGAACCTGATTTCAAGTTTACTTGCAGGTACAAACAAACCCTAAGATTCTAGGTCACTAAAGGTCTCACTTCCTTCTTCATAAACAATAACAGCACAGCTGGTGGCAGGCTGGCTTTTTAAAGCCTGGGAATTGCTTTCTAAGACAATGAATTTAGCGGCCGTTGGCAAACGGGGTGAATGTTTAATTAGCTTTCTGATTGCGCCTCAGTCCGAGGGTCCCGCAGTCCAGCGTCCCGTACAGGAAGCCCGCGCCTGCGCAGTTCTCCCGCCCCGCCGCTCCCGAGGCCCCTCCCCGGGCTCCTCCAGGCGGGCCCGCGGCCGTCTGCACAGCTCCGCTGGTGTTACACGAGCTCCCGGGACTATATTTCAACACGTGCTTTCCCCCTTCACCTCGAATCTCCTCCATCAACTCTCAGGCACCAACCGCCTCCGACGTCCGACGCGCGCTCCAGAGCGAGCATGCGCTTCCCAGACACCGCGAGCCCGCTACCGCATGACGTCTAGTGCGCAGGCGCCAAGGTGGCCTGGCTGAGTACTTAAACCTTTTCACCTGGCTGTGCACGGGCTTTAGTCTCTTTTGGTATTGGGTGGTGGCTGTTTCCAATAAGTTTTACTTTGTTTCCTTTCTCGTTCTCTTCTCCTTTGCATGTACTAGTTTTAGCTGGGCATGTTTTAATTGTTTCCTTAGTCTTTGTTCACTAGATTGCAAAATGTGTGAAGGTGGGGTTTGGTTTTGTTTACTGCGGTGTCCTGGTGGCAAGTGTACATTCAGAGAATACAGAGTGTTCTTAGAATGCTAGGCGTTGGTGGCACACTCCTTTAATCCCAGCACTTGGGAGGCAGAGGCAGGCGGATCTCAAGGCCAGCCTGGAAAGCGAGTTCCAGGACAGCCAGGACTGTTAAGACAGAAAACCCCTGTTTTGAAAAAAAGAAAAATTAAGCTGAGAAGCCAGATCTCCTCTCCTCTCTCTGTCTCTTGGTTTTTCAAGATCTGCCTGCTTCAGCCTCTCATAGCCCTCATAAATTGCAAATCAGGACGACAGGATTGCCCGCATTGATTTTTTTTTTAATCTTCCCAGTACCATCATTGCTTTTTCCTAGCTGAAGGAGAACAGAGCTCTTAACAGCACAGTGAGAACGTTTCGGGAATTATTAGCCTATCCTCAGTGTTTTGTCTTAGTTTTATTGAAGCCTGGGCCCAGAAAACTTTTTTAATTTATGTATTTTACATATATTGATTTTGGTCTGCATGTACATCTGCACACCAGAAGAGGGCATCCGATCCCGTGGACTACATTTGTAGACAGCTGTGAGCTGGGAATTGAACTCCTGGGAGAGCTACCAGTGCTCTTATCCATCTTAACCATGCTGAGCCACCCCTCCAGGCCACCCTTCCTCCCTTAAATGACACATTTTAAAAACGTGTATATTTGTTTAATTGCTAATCAGATCAAATCAGACTCCCGGGGTCCGATGAAGCAAGATTCTGATTACTGTGCAGTTTCCCAGGACTTTGTGACAAAAGGCCACAGGCTGTGTGGCTTAAGCAGCAGTTTTGTGGTCATCCCTCCCCAGCCCCCAGCCGCGGGTCTGGGACGAGTCTGAGATTCAGGTATCAGCCAGGGTTTCTTGAGGCCTCTTCTTAGGTGTAGCTGGCTGTGTTCACATCTTTTGTGCTCACACTTGTGAGCCAGCAGTGGAGTAGGACGGGTGCTCGGGCTAGGGCTTGAGCATACAAATGAGGGGAAGGGCAAAATCCAGGCCCAGGCTACTTTATGTGACTTTCTAACCTGTGGAAGAGGAATGACAGTAGATGTTCCAAGAACCTGCAAACCAAAAGTAGTCAGTCCAACACATCATTTGAACACGCTTCCACCATGACCTGATGGCTTTGCTCTTACCACACATCAAGTCTCCAATTTAAAGAAATGACTCAAAGTCACTTCTCTTTCAGACCTTAAACCACATCAAAATCGTCCTCTCACGACACTGATTGAATGCATCAGGTAAGCATAAGGTCCTAATGTGTTTTTATTGGTCAGAATTGTACACAATTATATTTCATCATACATGTCATTCACGGTAACTTTGGCAGCTAAAGTAACTTACTGACAAATTCTAATACTGAGCACAGAATAGTTCTATATCAATAAAAATGAGATTATTTTTGAAAAGAATTAAAACTCGGGTCATTATTTTATAATTTGGAAATCTGCATAATCCAACTTTGAGATGGTCTTCTCATTGTTGAAGTTGGCTCTGTCAATGTGTGATTTAGGGCTTCCTCTTGTCTCCAGCCATCGCTGCATAGGACGCACCTTGGAGAGGGGACCTTGCAGTTGTCCCTGCACCGTGCCCCGATCCGTGTTCTGGACCCAGCCCACCAAACCTAACTTTTTACCTTCAGCCTAAGGGGGAGAAAAGAGAAAGAGCGATCCAGTGAGATTGCAAAAAATAAAGTAAGACGAGAGTCTGTGGCCAGAACTTGGCCTGGAATCAAACCACTGAAACCAATTTGACATAGTCCAGAAAAATCAAAACAGACACCAAGGAGGATCCCGTGGCTGATTCAAGCATCAAGTGTTAGCCACTTGATTCCATTTCCCTTTTTTATTCTGCAAAACTCAGCGTTGAATTTTTCAAAATTTCCATTATGTAGTAATAAATGAGGTTAACTACTGAAGAATTAGCCCCAGAAAGATGCCTTTAGAAGGATTTCCTAAGGCTGACTGTTTTTGGGTCTTGGGCTTGCAGCTTATTCATTTCTCTTTCTTTCTTTCTTTCTTTCTTTCTTTCTTTCTTTCTTTCTTTCTTTCTTTCTTTCTTTTCTTTTTTTTGAGACAGCCTCACTATGTAGCCTTGACTGACCAAGATAGAACTCATCAGGTAGTCCAGACTAGCCTTGGTCTTCCAGCCATCCTCCTGCCTCTACCTTCTGAGTGCTGAGATTATAAGTGTGCAGTATCATGCCCAGCCAAGTAAACTGAAGTGGGAGGAGAGATCCCGGGTTTTAGTGTTTAGGCAGGACTGGGGCTCCACGTAGGGCAAGCACAGTAGCTCTAAGCTAGACCCCCAACCCTCATTTTCTCTTCTCTTAATCAGCAATCTACTGGTGTACTAACTAGAAGAAGCCTGCAGTTATTTGATCCTTTGCCTTTAGCCGGGACCACACCTAAGTGAATCCAGATGAAGTGATCCATTATATCTTTAAAGATCACTACACAGTATTTCACAATTTCCTGGGCAACACAACCATTGTTTTTCCTGCAGAGGACTCTTTAATCCAACACGTTTACACTGCACCCAAAGCCCACTTTGGGTCATACTTGGTAGAGAAGGGAAGCAGCTGTGAGTGGGCTCTGAGCACTAAGGGGTTCATGAGGCCCTGTAACTGTCAGGTTTCCATTTGACCTTCTTGCTAGGTCATGGGCATGCCGGATGAAGACACTGTCTGCTCTCAGGGGCCAGCCAGCCAGCCTGGGAGATCAGGCCATGTCCCTGCTACAGCTCTCTCTGCTGTGTTACAACCCATAGCACATAGCCCCTAATATATGGTCCTATCCAGGCCTGGCTCCTCCATACTCTTTATCCTGTAGGCTATCCTAAACTAAATCACTAAAAATAACTTACTTGACAAATTCTAATACTGAAAGGACATAAAATTCAAGTATTTCCCTTTATTTGGGGGATTTCATTGAAGGTTCCATCTGTGGTGGCTCTCTATGCTTTTTTAAAGGTATTTTTAATTGTGCATATATAGAGAGGATGCAGTATGTAAATGCTGGGTGCTGGTTCCCATGGAGTCCAGGTTCTCTGGAGTTAGAATTAGAGGTGGTTCTGAAACACCCTATGTGTGTTCTGGCAACTGAACTTGAGTCCTCTGGAAGAATGGTATGGACTGCGGAGCCATCTTCCCAGGCTCCTAAGTTATCCTTCTTAAGGATGCTTCTGTCCATTATAAAAATGTACTTTTTAATTACATTTACTTATTCATGAGGGTGAGGCATGCATACCATAGCACTAATGTGGAGGTCAGAGACTGCTTGTAGAAGTCTGTTCAAGCTTTTCACCTTGTGGGGGATTGAATTCAGCCCACCAAGTGTCTTACACACTGAGTCACCTTACCAGAAAGCCTGTAAGGCCTGCCATGCTGCCTGATCTGATGTACTGTCTCTCAGACTGATCTCCGACCTCAAGGCCTGGCCCCACAGTCACAAGGCTCTCCCAGTAAAGCTTATTTCTGAAGGGGAATAGCATGCCAGTCCCCTTTCCAATCCTGCTGCTCCTTTTCCCAGTATTTCTTTTCTTCTGTCTAATAAGTAAGTAATCACAGTGTCTTTAAAGTTGAACATGTGGGGGCTGGAGAGATGGCTCAGTGGTTAAGAGCACTGACTACTCTTCCAGAGGACCTACGTTCAATTCCCAGCAGCCACATGGCAGCTCACAACTGTTTGTAACTCCAGTTACAGGGAATCCAACACTCTCACACAGATATACACACAGGAAAAACACTACAAATTGACTTAAAAAATAAAATAAAGTTGCTGGGTGGTAGTGACAGAGCCAGCCTTTAATCCCAGCACTCAGGAGGCAGAGGCAGGGGGATCTCTGTGAGTTGGAGGCCAGCCTGGTCTACAAAATGAGTTCCAGGACAGCCAGGGCAATTATAAGAGAAACCCTGTCTCAAAAAAAAAAAAAAAAAGGCAAAAACAAAAAAAAACAAAAGAAAAAACTGATGCTTAGAAATCTAAAGAAAGGCTGGGTGTTGGTGGCACACGCCTTTAATCCCAGCACTTGGGAGGCAGAGGCAGGTGGATCTCTGTGAGTTTGAGGCTGACCTAGTCTTCCAGGACAGTCTCCAAACAATACAGAAAACCCCTGCTTTGAAAAACCAAAAAAAAAAAAAAAAAAAAAAAGAAAGAAATCTAAAGGAAGAGAAAAATCCTAGAAGGTGGGAGGTGGTGGTACACACCTTTAACCCAGTACTTAGGAGGCAGAGGGACACAGATCTCTGAGTTTGAAGACAGCCTGGTCTACAGGGCTACACAGAGAAACCCTGTCTCGGAAAAGAAAGGAAAACAGCATTTCCATAATCAGTATTTGCTTTTTTGTATTCTAAACTGGGGGTGAAGTGGGGGCAGGTAGAAAAGATGCCCTGTAATATCTGTTCCCTTTTCCTCAACAACGTTGATTCCTCTTTGAGCATGTCACCACCATTTACTAAATCACAGGAACCTGCCCTGTACAACAACCAGTGATAAAGCTAACTCAAACATTGCTATGACTTCCAGCATTTGACAGAGGCTTCACAAGTGAATAAAAAACAGAAAAACAGATTTGTTAAATAGAATAGGAGGTACTGACAGACATCCCTTTTTCAAAGATTCAGATCTGAATTTTTAGTATCACAGTCCCAGCAATATGGCACTTGGAAGAAAGTTCTGCAGGCCTACATCTTAATGGTAGGGGTGCCCATGCGTTGAGATTGCCCTTGAGCATGGGTGAGATTAGTGACAGGGAAACAGAGGTAGTAGGGGCTGCAGAGTTTGTTCATTCCTTCAAATACTCCCCATTACAGTAAGGGGAATACCAGACTCACCTTCCATGTTAACACCTATGCTGGAATGGATAGTTTTTTGTTTTTTTGAGACAGGGTTTCTCTGTGCAGTCCTTGATGTACTGAACTTGCTATGTAGACCAGGTTGGCCTGGAACTCAGAGATCCACCTGTTTCTGCCTCCTGAGTGCTGGGATCAAAGGTGTGTGCCACCATGCCCAGAATGGTTAGGTTTTTTTTGTTTTGTTTTTTGGTTTTTTCGAGACAGGGTTTCTCTGTGGCTTTGGAGGCTGTCCTGGAACTCGATTGGTAGTCCAGGCTGGTCTCGAACTCACAGAGATCCGCCTGCCTCTGCCTCCCGAGTGCTTAGGGTATACTCCTTCAGAAGAGTGTCTAGATGCTGAGACCAGTCAGGAACCCCTTGCATTTACATCGTGTTTTATAGACTGCAAAACAGTCTCTGTCCATCGCTTATCTCCGGCCGCAACTATCCCCTTGAAGCTACCAAAAAGCCAGCCTCTCCGGATTCCCATTTGTGAGAACCAGGCCTCATAACCATCACCTAGTCATGCGCCCCGACACCTCTTCAAGCCTATAGGTCACATACCTGAGTGTACTTGCGGAAAAACACCCCTTGAACCTTCCCAAAAATTTCATAATCCACTGAGACCAAGGTGTCCCTTTCCGCCATGCTCAAGCCTGTCAGAAACCAGGAAAGCAGCAAGGTGAGACTCTATGCCAGGACCCCATCCTAAGTAGGGGATGCACCCGTACTCCATCACCTCTGTGTCCTCTCCAAAACCCCAGGGTCCCGGAACTGCAGGAGTAAGTGGGTGGGTGTAGACGCAAGCCCCTGGTCGAGGCCTTCACCTGCTCACCCCGCTACCCTCAGCCCCGCGGCTGCCATCCATCCTCTCCCCACGCGGCCCGCAATCCCCTCCACTGACACTTGGATGATCCCAGCGGCGGACACTCGGGTTTCCCGGGCTTCCCCACCAACCACAGAACCGCCCCGAGACCTTCAGATCAACCGCCCACGATACGTAAACCGCCGCTCCGGAAGCTTTAGTCTGCCGCTCCTCCAACGCGACCCTGCACGCCCGTCACCGAGGCCCAACCAATCATAGGTAGGTTATCGGCCAAGAGCGGTCCTGAGGGCGGGGCTTCACGACAGGTCAGATGCTGGTGGGGGAGCTTTGGAGTGATTTAAGCAGAGTCAGACTTTATGCACACTGACACAGCCTGCGCTCACTTCGGTCACTAGACGCACCTCTCTTCTCATTTCCCCGTGGGTATAGAAAGGCATAGACGAAACACTTAAAATATGTTCCCTCATAAACTAAGCAGTAACATGACTGCCTACTACGTGCCCAGGACTGTTGGAATATATCAGTGACTATAATAACAGAATCCTGAGCTAGAGGAGCTTATCCATTCTCGAGGTGAGAGACAGGCAATAAACATTAGGCATCATAAATAAATCAATAGAATAGGATTCATACCCACCTTTCTGATCTGCTTTTTCTCTCTCTCTCTCTTTCTCTCTTTCAATTCTCTTCCAACTTTGGGTCATGTATAATTTAAACTTGGTAGCAAAGGACAGTAAATGCACAAGACATCACGGTGAAGTTATTCTATATGGTTGCCACCCAGAATCTGCCTTACTAAGATTATGCTTAAATAAAATAATAAACAAATAATAAAACACAGGCAAGCAATTCATGGCACCAGAAATGAATCAGTAAGTTGAATATACTGATCAATACATCTAAGCAAAATAACCAAATTTCGATGGGTGGTGGTGGTTCATGCCTTTAATCCCAGCACTCGAGCCGCAGAGGCAGGCGAATCTCTGTGAGTTCGAGACCAGCCTGATCTACAAGATCTAGTTCCAGGACAGCCTCCAAAGCCACAGAGAAACCCTGTCTCGAAAAACCAAACCAACCCAAAACAAGCAAACAAAAAAACCCAAATTTCATGCATTTACCTTGAGAAAAAAATTGCTAAGGGGTTTTTGGGTGGATTTTGAAAATGAGAATTGAATTATATGCCCTGGAATTCAGCTACACTTAGGATCAAGAATGTGTATGAAACAAACTGTGTGTGGTGTTTATTGTTCCTTCTTGGATTGCTTGTATGTATTATATCATTTCATAACACCGGGGCCCCATTTGTTAATATGTTGGGTTGGCAGTCTTGGCAAGATGAGACAGTTTGCAGTGGTAGCTATGGAACTCCACCATTACACTAGTTCCCCACTGCAGTCATAAAGCCTTCCTGCTGGGAGGTGACGGGCTGGATTAGATGGTGTCCTTGGCAATATCTAAAAACAATACTAAACAGTGTATTTGACTGATGTCATTTCTCTAAAGTTCATTTAAAGTAAGTTTCCCTATAGATTCCAAACCCACTGAGTATTTAAGTGGACAGAACACCATATGGTGTACAAAGAGGGGCAGTACATAATCTTTGCCCTCAAAGAGCTCTTTATCATAAATATGCTGTACAGATGACAAGATAATGTACACCATGGCAATGCATTTCATAAACATTCTTTGAGAGTGCATCATGGGCCAGCCCAGCACTGTAACGGAGACAGAAAGCAATATGATGGAGCAGAGATTAATTCTAATGGAAAGACTGAGAAAGGGCTTATAGAGAAGGCAGAATTTCCCATACAGAATCATACCCAGAAAGTGATGTAGCCAGGATTTAGATTCAGGTGGCCACTACAAAGTCCACTCCCAAAATACTGCCTTCTATCACCCCCTCAGCTTGTGGGAAGGCAGTGCCCACAGACAAGAAGGTAGAGTAGTTGTGATGAAACTAGGGGCTCTCCATGCCACGTGCACATTAGGACCTTTGGGGTCCTTCTGATTATATACCCACATTTTATTCCCAGGACATCTTCCCACTGCACAACCATGGTTGAGACATCCTGAGATTGACTCGGTTTGCTATAGGGAGACAGGACTATGGAGATATTTTACATCTAATATGGGAGATTAGAAATAGCTAAAGCATACATCTCAATTTTTCAAGAAGTCACTTTGGAAGAGAAACTATGGGATCAGAAGCATTACTAGTTAGCTCAATTTAATCATTTCGCAATATACACTTTATCAAACATCATTTTTTCATTGAGATATATATGTATGATTTTGTGTATCTTTCTTCATGGCTGTATGTAGACATACATGTGGAGGCCAGTGGACAACCTGGAGAGTCATTCTCCAGGTACAACCCATTTTTTCTTATGACAGGGACTCTTATTGTCCTGGAACTTGCTGAGTAGGCTAGGTTCACTGGCCAGTGAGCATTCTCAGAAGCAGAATTACAAATCTGTATTACCAAGTCCAGCCTTTTAAAATGTGAGTCCTGACAACTGATTCGGTCTTGACCGGTCTAGCTCTACAGCCGAAATATATTCAATTTTTAAAGACACTTTGTAAATTTGTGTTTTATTCTTGAGCAGCAGCTGTGCTAATCTCACTATCAATCCAGTTTTAGTATACTTTCCAAAGTACTATATATACTTTTTATTTGCAATCTCTCCATCGCGCCCTCCCTACCCTGTGTGTGTGTGTGTGTGTGTGTGTGTGTGTGTGTGTACATGCATGCATCTGTTCTTTTGTTGCTTGGGAATGGAACTGAGGTCCTGTGTATTCTAAGTATACATTCTACCATATATATATATATATATATATATATATATATATATATATATATCTGACTAATAAGCCCAGGCCCTGTTAATATCTCAAGAAAGCCAGGAAAGGTATTAGAATCCTCATTTGGAAAAGAGCAAGGACAGGTTTGGGGGGCAGATGCTGATGGTGAGGAGGGTGAAGTCAACCCCATGAAAACACACAGGCAGAACAAGAGAGGTACGACTTCTGGTAAAAAAACAAAACAAAACAAAAAGCAGCAGAGGTAAACTGACAGAATTTTCAGGTCAGTGGGAAAAGATAGCTGAGAGAGAGAAGAGAGGGCATGAAACACGGAGAAACAGCAGACAGAGAATGGGAACACAATCCATTTTCTTTTTTCTTTTTCTTTTTTCTTTTTTTTTTTTTTCTTTTTTTGGTTTTTACAAGACAGGGTTTCTCTGTATTGTTTTGGAGGCTGTCGGTCCAGCCTGGCCTCGAACTCACAGAGATCTGCCTGCCTCTGCCTCCCGAGTGCTGGGATTAAAGGCGTGCACAACCACCATCCAGGCAGTAGTTGGAAATTTATAACTAAGGAGAATGTTGTTAAGCAGGGGGACATTTTTAGTATTTATTTTTATTTCATTTGCATCGGTGTTTTGCCTGCATGTCTGTCTGTCTGTATGAGAGCATCAGATCCCTGGGAACTGGAGTTACAGACAGGTGTGAGCTGCCATACGGATGCTGGGAACTGAACCTGGGTCCTTTGGAAAAGCAGTCAGTGCTCTTAACCACTGAGTCATCTCTCCAACACCCCCCCCCCAGGAATATTTTTAAACACGGGTGAAAAGTGAAATTTCAGCATCTGATAGAAGTTATAAGGAGCAGAATGCCTGGAAGTGCATTTACATGAAAAGTAAGAGTGCTGGAGAGACCATCTAGATAGAGGAGGCCAGCAAGGGGGATGGTATAAATGCCAGAAACCTTAAATAGAAATAGATGGCCCAAGGCTGAGAAAGAAGGAAACAGGAGGACACAGGAGCAGTGGGAAGCGAGTCTTAAGGGAGTGGACGATCAACACTGTCAAGTGAACAGGCACAAAAGTAGAAGACGCTTGCCTTCTTGTCTGTACTCGTGGGAAGAACATAATAGCTCCGAAGTCAGCATGAGAGAGCAGAAGCCAGACCACAGCGGCCTGCGCAAACAGGAGGGGTAAGGAAAAGTGTGTGTGTGTGTGTGTGTGTGTGTGTGTGTGTGTGTGTGTGTGTGTAGGGTTTGTTATCAAGAAATTGAGGTGTGCTGGACATGGTGCATACTTCTAATTCCAGCACTGGGGAGGCAGAGATAAGTGGATCTCTATGAGTTCAAGGCGGGCCTGGAATACATAGCAAGTTTCAGGCCAACCAAGGCTACATTTTGAGACAGTGTCTCAAAACAAAAACAAAACAACAAACCGAACAAAAAAGAATGGAAGGAAGAAAGGAAGAGAGACAGAGACAGAGAGAGAGAGAGAGAGAGAGAGAGAGAGAGAGAGAGAGAGAGAGAGAGAGAGAGATTGATACAGCATGTTAGATGGCTCACAATGGCCAGGTGGGGGGGTTTCCAGTGCCATCTTCTGGCCTTCCCATGCACTGCACACACATGGCATACACTCAAACAGATTCTCTGTCTCTGTCTCTGTCTCTGTCTCTGTCTCTGTCTCTCTCTCTCTCTCTCTCGTGTGTGTGTGTGTGTGTGTGTGTGTGTGTGCACGCGCGCACACACACACCAGCCTGGGGGAACCTGAGGCAAGAGGATTAAATAGGCAGGAGGGCTGAACAGTGCTAACAGTGGGCTAAATGGGGAGCCTGTTTCAAAACAAACAGAAAACAAAACAAGACAAGGAGAAACAAGTGGGATCCTAACATAGGGGAGACAGGTTCAGAGAAGTAAAACTTGTTTTCGTATTTTAAAAGCAGAGAATAAGATGGAGAGTATTGAAACTGGTTAAAAAAAAAGGACTTACAGGAGAAAACCATAGCAGAAGACTGAAGTGGGGGAAGGGGGGCTGAGATTTACCCGGACCGAGTCAGTGGGAAAAGTCTGCAAATGTAGAGAGGCAAAAGAGACAACTGGGAATGAAAACAGCGACTGACAATCTGCCCTAGAGAGCCCACCAAGGAATTCCTTTGTAGCGCATAAAGGCTGACATCTGATATGCTGAAGTATTAACGAGACTGCTGTCCACTTTATTTCCCACGTGCACGGATCTTCTGCTTAGTTACAGGGAAAAAAACGAAGCTGTCTGTTCCAAAAAGCTTATCCAAATGAACTGAAGCACGAGGAAGACAAATAAACTCTCTTCTAATGTCAAAAAGTTAGAGGATCATTTAATGTTGAAATCAAGTTATGTTCATTATTGTCGATCTGGTAGTTAACTTTATTATCATTACATTTGGCTGAATCATTCCTGGGCCCTAAGTAGAAACGTGAGATTTACCACGTGAGAGTAAAACGTTAAAATAGCAAAATGATTAGATTGGCCTTAGAAACTACTCTGGGACGTAACGAAAGAATAGTAAATCTAACAGCAAGCGCCCAAAGCAGCGAGAGAAAACAGCCCAGGAGCATGTAGCCTGGAGCTTTGTAGCCCTACCTGGGGCCTGGGCGCCGCAGCCAAATGCGCTCAGAAGGGCGATCAGCAGTCCCACTCCCGCTAGCCGGGCGGACCCCCGAATCTTGGGACGGGGTGACTCTGCAGCCCATCTAGGGGCTCCACCCTTCTCCAGATGCGGGCACACCCTAAGGTCTGGGAGCACCATTCTCAGAAAGATGCAAGTTCTTCTTTGATGTAGCCCCAGAAAAACCTCTCCTCCCCCTCCTCCTCTCCCCAAGGGCAGCGCTGATCTGAGCGGCAGAGTTGGCTGCACCCTGTGTCAAGTGACCCGCCTGCACCCCCACCCCACCTTCCTCCATCCCAAACCCGCCCGGGCAGCTCCGGACCGCTTGTGGACTGCGCCTGCGCGCGTCCGGGGAGGGCAGGTCTCAACCAGAGGCGGCGCTCTGGTCTCCAGGCAACGGGGATAACCGAGGTGGACAGAGAGCGCCTGCGCGGACGGCGGTTGGGTTTAGTCAAGTGTGGAAAACTAGGTCTCGGGGGTCTACCCTGAGCAGGTACGCGAAAAGGAGGGGAGACGCGGAATCGATACCACGACCTCCCAAGGAACTGAAGAGTGAGAGTTTACCTCTTGGGGCTGAATCCCAGTGGGAGTTCCCGTTTGACCCCCTGGGACAGACCATGACTTCCGAGTTCCGGATCTAAAGCGGGCTGGGGCGATCAGGGGTCAACCCCCTGCCCCAACACACTGGTACCTGGTGCGGATCGTGCCATAGGGCATCTTGGGATGAGGGTTTTGACAGCCAGGCACCTGTTTCCAGCCGGGGCGGCCCCAGCAGGGGAAAGCCCGGGGAGAGCTCTGCGCCAGGCCCTCGCCCGGCCGCTGTTCTCACCCTGTAAAAACTCAGAGCACAGAACCGGCGCTAGGAAGAACAGGTTGCCTGCTTTTTGTTTGTTTTGTTTTTGTTGCTGTTGCTTTGTCACAGATGACCTTCAATCTCAGGCCATGTCCACCGCTTCCATAATAGTGTATGGCACACCAGATACGGGTGTGGCGGAAAGCCAGGGGCAGAACACCTGTGTCCCGTTCATGTTTTGGTCCTCGGGCCTTAACAATGTCTGGCACAGAATCCTCACCCACTAAGTGCGTATTGAAGGAAGGTCCTGGCAGATCGAGGGCTACAGTCCTGAGAAACGAGAAACGTTGAGAGGGAACGTGGGCAGGGCAAACGTACAAACAGTTTACTCTAGCAGCTGGGAGTGAACCTCAGACAAATTCTTCACTTGTATCTGTTTTAAATCTCCTCTAGGCTTTGGTCCAGGCCCTGGATGGCTGGTCTCCAGTTGGCCCCACATCTGCCTGTGGGCGTTATGTTCCCACATAATAAAACAGAAGCGCCTGGGCTCCACTCAGCTAAGCACCAAGGTGACTCTTCCCAGCGGTCCTCGGTGGGACACTTGAGGAACAATTTCCAGCAGAAGCTTTGGAGCAACACAGAGCTGGGGCAGGAGGAGGACGTGTCCACGGTCTCCAAAAGGAAAATCTGCAAAGAATCCCGGAGGCACTCCTGTCCCCAAAATGCCAGGATCAGCCAGCAAAGCCCAGGAAGCAATCCCCAGGGCCAAGGAAAGGCTTTGTTCTCCTTGTCAAGCTTTCAACCCCGGTATCACAAAACAAATGACCAGGACTTCGTTCCCTTTAGGAAGAAGCAAGTTGGCGTGGACAGGGCGTACCCACTGAAACCCATGGTTCACCGGAAGTGTCATAGTACAGGCGAGGCAGGCACCGATGGAGACCAGAATGTCTCCCCGAGACTCGCTGAGTTTTCAGACGACGACTTTGGTTTGAGGAGCTGGGTAAATTCATCTGTTCTTGCCTCTGTGCAGGCAGAGAAGGTCATGGCAGACCTCCACAGGTCTGAGTGGACGCAGATCCTAAGACTAGAAGCTGCAGGGGAGACTTTACAGAGGGAAATCCGAAGGAAGGAGACCCTCCTGAGAGAGAAGCTGAAGAAGACCGAGGAGGGTCTCCGAAGGATTCAGGAGAAGAAACAGGCCCAGCAAAATAAAGACAAAGAGCTACCAAGAGTGATACCACCTGCTGAGAGAGTTAGAGAAAGTGGCAGCAACACACCCGGCTTATCCCCCGGGTTCTGTTCTGAGGTGCTCAGTAGAAACAGGGGAGAGGCTCAGCCTTGTGAGCGGGCTCAGGAAAACTCCAGTCCACTCCAGTTCTCTGATTATGAAATCCAGAGGCTCAAAAGGGAAAGGCTGATGGCCAGCAACAGCAAGATCCGGGACTCAGGGCCACCCACAGACGAGTTCTCGAAACCTTCGGAAGAGCTGGGTAGCGCACTGCAGGCATCAAGCCTGTCGGGGACGCCAGGCTCATCAGGGTCCTGCTCTTCCACAGACGAGCCAGAGCTGGGCAACTGCAACTACTGTGGACGCACATTTCTTTGGCTCAGGCTGCAGAGACACTCGGCCGTCTGTGGCAGGGTGCAAGGGTCCAGGAGGAAAGTGTTTGACTCCTGCAGGGCCCGGGCTAAGGGCACGGAACTAGAGCAGTACTTGAACTGGAAGGGGCCAGCCACAGCCAAGGTAATAAACGCTTGCTAGGTCTGACTTGCTATGGGGGGCCTGTAGCGGCCAGTCATGTCCTTACCACACGCACCAGACCCGTCCACACGCGCACCAGACCTGTCCACACACATCAGACCCGTCCACACGCACCCCACACGCACCAGACCCGTCCACACGCGCACCAGACCTGTCCACACACATCAGACCCGTCCACACGCACCCCACACGCACCAGACCTGTCCACACACACCCCACACGCACCAGACCTGTCCACACACACCCCACACGCACTAGACCCGTCCACACACACCCCACACGCACCAGACCCGTCCACACGCACCCCACACGCACCAGACCTGTCCACACACACCCCACACGCACCAGACCCGTCCACACGCACCCCACACGCACCAGACCCGTCCACACCCACACCAGACCTGTCCACACACATCAGACCCGTCCACACGCACCCCACACGCACCAGACCCGTCCACACACACACCAGACCTGTCCACACGCACCAGACCCCCCCCCAAGCTTGAATAGTTTTATCTTTTGTGTTGTCCTCAGGGACCTGTAGGTACGAGATAACTGGTCTAGTGCTGATCAGTAACCCTGCTCTTGAGTTAGTTACTCTCTTTCCACCTTTATGAGGTGGGGTCAATATTTAAATCTTACTAAAATTGACACCAAAATCTAGATTCTAAAATATGTGCCCTTTTGATTATCGTAAAACGGAGTCATGTTTGCAGAAAAAAACAAAACCTTAAAAATGAAATTTAAAAATGTGCATTTTATGTTAAGACAAATATGACACTTTTTTTCCCCAGAAAGGGTTTCTTTGTGTAGCCCTGGCTGTCCTGGAACTAGCTCTGTAGACCAGGCTGGGATTAAAGGTGTGTGCCACACCGCCTGGCGACACTTATTTTTTTGATTTATGAGAATTCCTTGCTTTCTCCCATTTGTTACCTCACTTGGTTGTCCCTGCTTCTTTTTTTTTTTTTTTTTTTTTTTTTTGGTTTTTTGAGACAGGGTTTCTCTGTGGCTTTGGAGGCTGTCCTGGAACTCACGCTGTAGACTAGGCTGGCCTCGAACTCACAGAGATCCGCCTGCCTCTGCCTCCCGAGTGCTGGATTAAAGGCGTGCGCCACCAACGCCCGGCGTCCCTGCTTCTTAATAGTGAGCTCAGTTTTGATGTACTTTCTTAGTAAATTCAAGAAATACAAATAACACCACAGAGATAAAAAGTGCCCCCCCCACCGCTTTTTTTTTTTTTTTAGCTACCTCTCCAAAACATCACTTACTTTTGAGAACCCCAGTGAAATCATTAGGGATTCACAACACCTAGTTGGTAAGGCTCAGGACTTGATGGTAATTTAGATCCACCTGGGGACATTGCCCCATAACCAGCCTTCAAGGGTATGTTACTCGGTTTGTAAAATTAGAGTTTCCCCACAGTGTTTATTTTATAAAATCATATTAAGCTTTAATTTCTGTGGGATCATGAGTTTAAACAAAAATATTAAAGAAAAATGTTCAGGGTTGGGAAAACCCCATGTTAGACACCTCAAAGGCCCCATATAACTCTAAACAGTCTGGGAAAAAAGAATATATTCTGGCTTTATTTCTTCCCAAATCATGTGTGCCCTCACAGGCTCTCTCTCTTCCTTTACCCTTCTCTCTCTCTCTCTCCTTCCCTCCCCTTCCTTCCCCTCCCTTCCCCTTGCCGAAGGCTGACCTAGAACTCACTATGTAGACCAGACTGGCCTCAAACTCAACTGTCTGCTTTCCAAGTGCTGGGATGAGCGGTGTGGGTCAGCATACCCAGCTCCCAATTCTCACTTAACAGGACTCTGAAGTTTACATGTCTCCTTGCTGGAGCCTTTAAAACACCCACCGATGGGATGGATGCTCAGAGATAACTCATAATTATAGTGTTTTCTCTCAGTACAATTTGAGCCGTCACCACAAGAATGTCTCTCGCATGTTCAGAGATAATGTCCCTAAAATTCAGCTTCCACAAGAAGTCAGCGTTTTGCGGACAGATAATGACAGGATGGTCAGTTACTATTCTTTCCTCCTTGGTCAGCCCAGCAATTCACTGGAGATCCCCTATGGCCTATCATAACTTACTTGGGGGCCATCATGGGAAAGAACCCTTTCCTTCTTCAATTCCTAAATATAGTAGCACTGAAGCTAAAGAGCACAGCCCAACCCTGAGCAGACCAGTTTGAGGTCATGGGCTGCACTGGGACACAAGGCAGAAAGGACTGGGCTGAGCTGCGCTCTGTCCTGGGGGCATCTGAGTCTCACTCCAGAGCTCTGTGCCTTTGTGAGCTAAGTGGCTGCAGCTTCTTGCCGCTTTTCCCACAATACTCTGAGATCTGGACCTTCTCCCATTCTTTTACTATTCATATAACGGCCAGCACACACGCACCAGGGCCACTAGACTGTCAGCAGGTGACGCAGGAACCCACACACGTATTTGTGCTTAGGGTGATACAGAATGAAAACATAGCTACTGTACCCCCTGAAGATCCTTCTGGCTGAATTCTTTTAAGATTCCTGGGTGGCATCTCTTAACTGCAGTTCTTTTGTAGCTGTCTCAATAAGACATGTCTGGTAGAGCATGGTTTTTCTTTTGATAGCATTCCTTGTTATTACCTGTTACCAAGAGGTGTTTGTTTTCTTATTCTCTTTAAGGTTAATGTTTATTTATTTTGTGTGCGTGGGTATGTATGCATGCTGTTGAGATCAGAGGCCTTGTGGGAGTTAGTTCTCTTCTTCCCCCATGTGGGTCTTGGGGATTAAACTTGATGATTTGGCTGGGTATAGAACTCAAGGCAGGAAATAATCTTATTAGAACTCTGTTTTTGAGACATTGCCTCACTATGTAGTCTGACTGGCCTGTAACTTACAGAGATTAGCCTACCTCTGCCTTCATGCCTGGCCCTTTACTAGAACTCTATCTCTTTTTTAAATTGTTTTCTTTTTGGTTTTTCGAGACAGGGTTTCTCTGTATTGTTTGGAGGCTGTCTAAGACCAGGCTGGCCTCGAACTCACAGAAATCCGCCTACCTCTGCCTCCCAAGTGCTGGGATTAAAGGTGTGCGCCACCAACGCCCGGCTCATGTTACTGGAGCTTTAAAAAGTATTTATTATGAGTCCTGCCTGCATGTATGCCTGCGGGCCAGAAGAGGGCATCAGATCTCATTATAGAAGGTTGTGAGCCACCATGTGGTTGCTGGGAATTGAACTCAGGACCTCTGGAAGAACAGCCAGTGCTCTTAACCTCTGAGCCATCTCTCCAGTCCTTTATTGGAGCTTTTAAGATGTTGTTTTTTTCTAGCTTTTAACATCCAGTGTTTACTGTTGAGAAATTCAATGTTTTGATTCCTGCTTCATTTTATGAAACCTATTTTGTTTCATTTCCAAAAGTCAGTAATTTTTCTTTACTCTAAAATTATAAGATTTTTTTTACAACGATTGCTTTGGAGTTTTGTAAGCCATTTCAAGTCTCAAGACTTTCAATATTCGATTCTACAAATATTAATCATATTGTTTAATAACTTCTTGTGTTTTCTGTCCTTTTTGGAGCAAGTTTGATTACATGTTGAACTTTCTAATTCCCCTGTCATTTCTGCTTTCCATCTGTTCTCTTTTTTACCATTCTGAGAGTTTTCTTTATTATTTTGTAATGCTTCTATTTGAGTTTTGACTACCGGGCTTTTAATTTATAGTTATTGTTACTTTGTTTCTCTGTTCATCTTTTATAATATACACCTTTTATGAACAAAACCTTTCTTGTTTAAATATCTATTTTGTTTTATGTATGTGTGTGTTTTGCCTGTGTGTACATCTGCACCACGTGTGTGCATTGCCCAAGTAGGGCAGAAGGAGGCATGGGATCCCCTAGGAATGAGTTACAGACTAATGTGAGCCTCCATGTGGGCTCTGGGAATCAAACCTGGGTCCTCTGTAAGAGCAGCCAGTGCTGCTAACTGCTGAGCCATTTCTATACTCTGGACACAATATCTTTTCATACGTTATTGATGTATTCTGTTAAAATGTTTCTCTCTCTCTCTCTGTGTGTGTGTGTGTGTGTCTTGCATGAGTACATGCATTTGTGCATGTGCTGTGTTTGTTTCCTGAATTTTTGTTCTTGTGCTTTGGGGAACCTTTTCTCTTTAGCTAAGCTCTCATCAAGGATCTGACAATCCTTGCCTGTTCATTTGGTGTTTTTATTTTATTTTTTATTTGAGACAGGGTCTCACTATTTAGTCTTGGCTGGCTGTGAGTTCACAGAGCTCCTCCTGTCTCTGCCTCCTGAGTACTCAGATTAAAAGGGTGCACCACCACACCCTGCTGTTCATTTAAGCCTTAGTGGTTTTTTTCACTAAAGGACTTAATACTTATATACATACATACATGCATGCATGTATACATGTATACATACATACATACATACATACATACATTGAGTCCTGTAATTGTGGTCCCCCAAAGTCAGTGTTAGAAGGTTCATTTCTGGCTAGCAGGTGAATCCAGAGAACTGTTGTCCCTCCCAAGAGGATGACAGTTACTGGTACTCTGGGAGCTGATCTTAGGAAGTAATCTGACAGGTTTGTGGTTGTTGGGTACCCTTGCTCAGGCTTCCTCATCACCAGTGCTGAGATGAACCCTGCTCCTTATCCTGTCTGGATTTTCTGAACTGAAAACCCATCTAGTGGTTAAGAGAGCTTACTGCTTTTCCAAAGGACCTAAGTGTAAGCCACCCACTTCAGGTCACTTACAACCACCTGTAACTCCAAGTGATTTAATACCCTCATTTACACACACACACCCCTTTTAAGGAGATGGAGAGATTGCTCAGTGATTAAGAGCAGCAGCTGCTCTTCCAAAGGACCCGGGTTCAATTCCTGGCACCCACATGGTGGCTCACAAACTGTCTGTAACTCCAGTTCCAGAGGATCTGATGCAAGCAAAACACCAATGCAAATGAAATAAAAATGAATATCTTTAAAATCTATCTAGTTCAATTTTCCCAGAGATCAGTTTTTCCTCTCTTCTCATGGGAGGTACTGGGGATACTGGGCCCCTGGATACACACGGTAGGAGAGGAGCCCCCAAGTTCTGCTTGTTTCCATCCCCACACCTTCCTCCTTTCTACCTAGCCCAACCCTCTCTGGGGACGTGGCAGGAAGATGCCTGGGATCCAGGTAGGACCCCTGGTTGGGGGCCTTGGGCTGAGCCTCAGTGCCAGTCATCACTCTTCCCCCTTCTCTGCTCTTTGATCTTAATGACCGTTTCCACATCCCTGCTGTTGTCATGGAGCCCCAGAGAAGGGATCCATGGCAGTGGAAGACTCAGTGTTCCTTTCCCATTACAGACTGAACCTCCTCGGAAGAGCACCTGGAGACAGAAGCATGAGTCTTTTATCCGCACCCTCCGCCACGCTCGACAGGTCCAGCAGGCCATCGCCAGGGGTGGGAACCCCTCAGACTTGCCTCCCGTCCTGCCAGCAGAAAACCCAGACTATGTCCAGTGTCCTCACTGCAGCCGCCACTTTGCTCCCAAGGTGGCTGAACGACACATACCTAAGTGTCAGACCATCAAGAACCGTCCTCCACCTCCAAGGAGGCATGACAGCTGAGCAGACGATGGCTGTGTGTCCCTACAGCAGTAAATCAGAGGATGAGCGATAGAGAGCACGGAGAAAGCAACGTTTCCACAACTCAGGATCTGCTTGCAGAGCCAAACTGCCCCGGAGGAGAGCCTGCCACCTAGCAGGAGGCAGGTGGAAGCCCCAGTGTCCCTTTGGGTCATAACGGTGGCTGTGTTTATGTTCTTGCCTCAAGAACTTGTGGGTGAGGACACTAGATAGGGAAGCTGCATTAAAGCTCTTTTCTCCTGAGCCTGACCATGGTTTGTGCTGAGGAAGTGCTGGATTTAGAAGTGTTTTCCAGCCATGGCAAATGTCCAGGGTTTCTGTTAGTCCTCTTGCTCTTCAAAGTTGGGTATAAGGATGAGTACGTTGAGGCCAGAGGGTCACTGTCATATGCAGATGGTAGCTCGTATAAAAGATAGTATGATTCTGCTGCGAGGCATTATTAATGGAAATCTATCCTTGGCCTCCATGGCGCATGATCCTGGCTGAAAGCCAACAAAAGTATATAACATTAGGGGACCAGTGTATCCTAAACCTTCCCTGTGGTGCACTGGATAATGAAACATCTTTTTGCACTTTACAGGGTAGGGATGGTAGAAAACAATTTAGTTCTCCGTGCTCATTCTTTTTAAATGCATCTCCTATGTTAAAGAAAGAAGCTGCTAGGTACCCTGAAGCAGCCAATCCAGTCTAAGAAGCGTGGACAATGCTCAGTTTCATGGCCCCATGATCAGAGCATACTCATACTTCTATTTTAAATCTTGAAAGGGATCAGGTCTTAATGGAGAGAATGGTGCCTACTGCGAGTTAGGCCCTCCGTCAACTAGTGGCTTTGGAGAGCTTAGGAAGACAAGTGCTATTTAGTCTGAAGTGCCCCTCCCCAGGCAAGTTTACCGAGTACACCAAGTTCCTCTATGTTAAAAGAAACAGACAGTAAGCGTGGCTAAAGTCACAAAGTTGGACCCCACAGATAATCAATTTTTTTTAAATTTTGTTTTTAGAGACAGGGTTTTTCTGTCGCTTTGGAGAGGCTGTCCTGAATTCACTCAGTAGATCAGGCTGGCCTTGAACTAACAGAGATCCACCTGTCTCTGCCTCCCTACTGGGATTAAAGGCGTGCACTACCAACCACCACCACCACCCGACTGATGTTCAAAAATTTTAAAGATTATCTAGTGAGTGTTCTGACTGACTGCACACTGGGTACCTGTAGAAATCAGTATCGGATCCCCTGGAACTGGAGGTACTGATGGCTGTGAGCTGCCACCCCATGTGCTGGGAACTCAGGTTTTTTTTTGTTTGTTTGTTTGTTGTTTTTTTGAGCCAGGGTTTCTTTGTGTAGCCCGGCTGTCTTGGAATTTATGCTATAGACCAGGCTGGCCTTGGTGTGCACCACTCAGGTTCTCCAGGCCCCACCCCACCGCACACCACCCCACCCCTGATGCTTTATTGTTTATGAAGCATTCAAAATGTGTTGTGACTTTTAAAACCTGGGGTAGGAGCTTGTCTGGACAAACCGGAGGCGGTGGAAACACCGAGCAGCAACCACATAGGACACACTGGAAGGGGCTCACAATCTGCCACTCCTTCAGTTGGGAATGATGGCAAGTAAAGCCAGATTCCCTTGCTTCATCTGCTGGGCTTCGTAGACATGTGGATTTGGGATCCCACAATGTTATTAGGGCCACAACTTAGAGCTTTCAGTGGAGATGACTGCGTGCGGGCCTTTCTATAGACCCAAGCAGTTACTCATTCTTAAGTTGCCAAAGGATGAAAACAAGAACCCATGCCTTTGTGTTCCCTTTGACCCCAGTTTTTGTCAGTCTTCTGAATTCAGACAGCTTTGATTCTGGGGGCGGTAAGAGCTGTTTTACAACCTTGATCTCTTCCTGGATAGAGGTCACATAGATGCTGCTTGTTAATGTCCACAGTCTGTTACTCTAAGCACATGTTGTAAACATTCTACATTTTAAAGTTCAAAAAGCTAAGGGGAATTCTCACAGTGAAACTCACAAGGTAGCTCTCTTCATTTAGAAGTGTGTGCAGCCATGCCGAGCCAGGATTTCCTAGCTCACCCAACAGTGCCTGCTGTCAACATTTGCCCAGTCAGCTGATCACCCTTCACAATACACAGATGGCAAGTGGAGCTGTGATGGATTTTCCTCCCCAAAGCCCACGACCTGTGAGCTTTAATGACCAGCACGTTTATGTCTGCAGTTAATCACTGAGGCAATAAATGACTTCTGGCTTTGCAGGGAATCTCAGTCTTGATTACAGTCCACCCCACCCTCCTGCTATCATGATTGCTACTTCCTTTGAGGCCTGGGGATCTCATGTGAAGGACTTTCTCTAAAAGACATATTTTTCTATGGGCTGCTCTTCCTACCACGAATGTTTCTGAATGATAACAAACCAAATGAAACTGGAGCATTAGGAGCCTTTTGCTTTAGACTTTGCTGCAAAGCTCAGCCAAGAAAAGTAACAGCTGTTATGCCAAGGAGACCAAATACAGCTCGGCTTTCCTGAGGACGTTTTACAGACAAAGCAGTATGATCACTTAGAGCTGTCTCCCCATCAGGACCAAGGGGGTATGTAAAGGAAATCTGATTCCTTTCATTACTGTGTGTGTGCATGGCGGGCATGCACATGCCAGTGTGTGAGGTCAGAGGCAGCTCTGTGGGCTCTGTGGGTTGAACCCAGGTCATGAGGCTTGCTGAGCAAGCCTCATGACCTGCTGAGCCACCCTGCTAGTCCAGGACCCTTCTTTTAATGTCTCTCTTTCCCCGTCTGCACTTCCTGTATTTTACAAACTCTGCTCATCCAGGACCCTTCTTTTAATGTCTCTCTTTTCCCTGTCTGCACTTCCTGTATTTTTACAAACTCTTGGAGGAAAAGAGTTGTCGCAGCAAAAAAGATTTTTTCTGGCAAGGATGAGATTGGAAAACAGCAGAGGTTATTTCTGGGTACCGTTTCTTGCATCGTTTCTGTTAAAAGAACATTTTTTCATTATCATTTCTTTGTAGAAGACTCACAGAATCAAAGATTTCCTAAGGCCTAGGAGTGCAGGTGTTTTGTCCCCAGTGACTGAGGTGGTTACTGAAGCACAGCACTAGCTGAGAGTTTAAATGTTTATTTAAAACAGAAATGCCACACCATTCCACCCTCACCCTTTCCAGCATCTGGCTAACAATAAGCTGGCTTTTCAGCCAAGTGTTGGCACAGAGGATATCGAAGGCTATATTGTAATCAAAGCAACACTACCGGAAAGCCTCAAACACCTAGCACTGCATAGGGGACAAGCAGGACAATTACCAAGATTTAGCTACAGAAAACCATTTGAAGACATTTCTTTTGTCTTGTGTTTTCCTCAACCCAGTGCATGGCTGCCATCTTTGGACTGTTTTCTGTTTGCATAGCTGTTTGGTGGGTTAAAACCTTATGGCTGTCCTAGGCACAATTCTGGAAAGTGCAAATTATCCTAAGGCACAGAACTCAGGTCCTCAGCTGGATTAGTACAAACCTAGATTCCCATGGGAATATACCAGAGAAAACGACCACCATGCACACCTAGAGAATGACCCCCAGGGCTCCTGCCCACCTCCGCACTCACTGTCACGCTACAGCAGCAACATGCCCTGCCCCTCAGCTCCAAGCAGAAGCAGTGCTCAGAATGAAGACCTTACACCCTGCCCTCAGCTCCAAGCAGAAGCAGTGCTCAGAATGAAGACCTTACACCCTGCCTCTCAGGCCTGCTGAGATGTTGGATAAGGATACAGGACCTCGAAAGGCCAGCCAGTCCTGAAGAAACCCAGAGTTGCATTGACATAACGAACCAAAACTCTCTGACAGGGTTTACAGCCAATGGCCAGACCCCTAGAACTTGAGACCTTCTGTCAGGATTGGGCCTCCCCTTATTCCGGGAAAAGGCTTCAGTGACTACATCAGTACTATTGTACTAGGCTTCTCAGAATTGAGAAAACAATGGGACATCAACAATCCCATTGGACAGAGTTGCCCACCCCAGAGATGGGGTTTCCTCCTGGCACCAGCATTTGCACCACCAGTTTAGAGAAATGACAAAATTTCTCCTGCATAGGTAGGTCCTCCTGAAATTTAATGCAACAATATTAATTTAGCTGTATGTAGCATGGAGGATGTGGCACTTACCAAAGCATCTGCTGTGCCCCAAACATAAGCAATTCATTAGACTTGGGTGCACAAGGCTCACATTTAAGAGAAACCATCATATGCTTGCCTAGAAGGCTGGATCTTCTAGGACACCCTGTCTTTGGAAAAGGTAGCTTGCTCCTCTCAACAAGAACATAGCAGAAGTGAGCTTGCAGCCAATCTCCTCACTTGGCAGGTTCTACCTGTCAAGCTTTTGGGACCCCAAGTATTTGGTGCTGACTTTGGGCCACTCAAGTATAAAAGGTGATACTGACTTACTGGGTATGATATGGCTTCAAATCACACCAGAGAGGAAAATACTGACTAGACATAGAATGGGGTGCCAGTCAGACCCCTCAGGGGCATGGCACTAGAGGTACAAAGAAGCCTTCACAGGGGCACCACTCAGGCTCTCAGACACCAAGGCAAGGCACTGAAGGAAGTGTCATCTTCCCTCTTGCTCTTCTCCCACAGCCGCACCTGTCACCCGCTGGCTGGAGTAATTCTCTCAGACCCTCCTCTCTAGAGGAGCCCCCAGAGCTGGGAAGTCCCACCTTGCACTAACGGTAGCCTGAAGGTGCTATTGTGACGAGGGACCTGCCCTTTCTCTGCTCCTCATGACGATGTTTCAAGGACCTCCACAGGGAAAGCAATCTAAGCTTTCTTCACAAAGCACACGGCTGCACGCAGTAACTGAACTTCCTGAAGACAAGCTCTAGACTGACGGCCAGGAAAGTTCCCTGGCCTCCAGGTTTCTGAGAAGACGGGAGACTTTACTGCTCTCTAGAGGACCCTGGGCAGGACAGGCCTGGCCATGGCCCATTCCAATGTTACATTTCTCCTTCCTCCACCCAGAGGTGCAATGCCTGGTGCTAAAATCCCAAGGAAGCTTCCAATAATGATGAAAATGATAAATGGGATATGAGCTGCTACCAGCACAATTAAGGTGAGTCCTGTGTCTCCTCTTCAAAGGTGGGATCAAAAGATGAGGTACAGAGCTGTTGTTGCTATGGCAGTCACTGATGACAAGCTAGGGCCACAGAACCCTTCCATTCTCCGAACAATATCACTCCTAGAGCCTATCTAAAAGGCAATGCCACTCTCCAGATGCACAAGGAAGGTGCTTTAGAGCCTCCCTCTGTCCTGCGCTCCGTGTCTGCAAGTGAACCAAGCCAGGAAAGCTGCTCTCTGCACTCGGTAAGTGTGCGGTGAAGTTCTTTGGGTCCCAGTTTCCTGAGGGCTATGTGGGCTCAGGAGACTAGAGGCTGGGTCGACAAGAGTCTGTTCCAAGGAGGCACCAGGAATCCGAATCTAAGTCAGGCTTCGGATCCATTTCCATCTCTTCCTTTGCTGTCTGAATTCCTTTGGAATGCATCCCCACCTGTCCAGACAAAGCAGCTGCACGTTAGCAAGGATGCTACTGGTCATGGCACTTCAGGATATGTTTTCATGATGGCATATTCTCTCAGGGTTTGCTGTCTGGTTTTGTGGAAGGCTCAGGTGACACTGTCTTGGAAACAGTTTCCATCTTTACATTACAAAGGGAGTGTAACTAGTTGCTCTGGTTTGCTCAGGCCCACAGGTTTGGGGATGCAGTATGAAAAGTGAAATGGCTGGGAATGGTAGTGCACCCCTTAAATCTCAGCACTCAGGAGGATCTGCGTCCATGAGTTTGAAGCCAGCCTGATCTACACAGTGAGTTCCAGACCAGCCAGGGATACACAGTAAGATACTGTCTCAAAAAACAAAAACAAGCACCCCCTCACCCCTGAGTCCTTGATAAAACAATCTTCGTGCTACTACCACTGCCAATCTTATCTCAGGAGTGTACATTACCTTCTGACGTGTTTCATGGACATTGTTTCCCTCAAGTTTCAAGACAACCATATGTTGTTCACAAAGTAAGAAGTCCAAACTCACATAAGACAAAGCCAAGGAATACTCTTCCCTCACTCATAGCTGAGCTGAGAGGGAGTGATACCAAGAAGCATCATATGCAAAATGTTTTTCCCAAACTATTTAACCTGAATGCAATAAAGCCATAATTCGAACTTCAGTGTTCAGAAGAGAGCATGAGTGTGTTCATGCCATTCTTTGAGTGTGCAGGTAAGAAAGAGGACACCCCTTGCTTGGGAGTTGACTCTTTCCCACACTGTGAGTTCTGGGGACTGAACACAGACTGTCATGTCTATGTGGCAAGTGCTTTACTGAGCTGAGCCATTTCCCCAGCCTTACATCAGTGTTAGACTCTACTTTAAAATGGTCCAGTAACGATGGGCGTTAGTGGTGCATACCTTTAATCCCAGCACTCAGGAGGCAGAGGCAGGTGGATCTCTGTGAGCCCAGGACCAGCCTGGTCTACCGAGCAAGTTCCAGGACAGGTTCCAAAACATGTCTTGAAAACAAAAACAAAAACAAAACAAGACAAAAAAGAAAAGGTTCAGCAAAGGCTGGGGATATAGTTCAGTGGTAGAGCATTTGCCTACCATGTGTCGGACACTGGGTTCAATCCCCACTGCTGCACAAATAAACAAAATGGTAATATAAGTATGTATAGGTATATACACCAAATAAAGTAACATGCTAATAACCCATATGGTAGGCAAATGGGCATTCATTATAATTTTGGCATTATAATTTTGGACATCTTCATAATAAAAGAAAAACCAAACAACTAGTAATAGAAAACAATGAAAGTTAGGTGTTAAAAATGATAAAATCCAGGCACCCAAACTAGGCAGGTCCAAGGCTCCTGGAATTAAGTACAAAAGTCACATCATTAAGAGACAGGACCCAGAGAGAGACAAGGAATTACAAATGGTTAAGTCTACTTAGTACCTTATGCTTTGTTTCTGTGAACTTCAAAGCAGATTTAGAAATTCAATTACTCTTTTCATGAATGCTCTCACCTGCTGGCCTCCTTCCAATTTCTTGTTTAGCTTTTGTAGTTGGGTAAAAATCTGGAGGTTTTCTTGTTGTAGCTTCTGTTGTTCAGCCAGACACTTTAACACCAGAGCCTGCAACCTCTCAACCTCGGCCTGCAGAGTGCCGCACGCACAAGCGGGAGAGGTCAACACTTTCCCAGCACACGGTACTGCAGGATTCAGCCGGGGAGGCTATGGACAAGGAGGAGATAATGCCATGGAGGATCTGCCATGAGTCTCCCCAGGGCAAATAGCTTTTACTTTAACCAACACAGGAGGACAAATATACACAAGAATAGGTGCAAGTAAAACAGAAAAATGCCTGGATTTCAACTGCACTTGTTACTAATAGGACAAGGGAACTCTCAGTGCTTAGGCCTCATTAGGCTGCAGTAAAACTCATCGCTGGGGCGGTGGTGCACGCCTAATGGAGGCAGAGGCACCATTAGGATCTCTGTCAGTTCAAGGACAGCTGGTTTGCAGAGAGTTCCAGGACAGGCTCCAAAGCTACACAAAGAAACCCTGACTCAAAAAACAAACATGCAGGTCAGAGGCAAAATCCCAGTACTTGGAGGCAGGTGGATCTCTGAGATCAAAGCCAGCCTGGTCCACAGAGCTAGTTCCAGGACAGTCAAGGCTACACAGAGAAACCCTGTCTTGAAAAAACAAAAAAAAAGGAAAGAAACAAAACAAAACAAAAAACCCACTTGTCAGTCACAGTGATGTATGCCTTTAATCCCAGTTCTTGGGAGGCAGAGGCAGGCAGATCTCTGAGTTCAAAGCAAAGCCAGAGCAAGTTCCAAAACAGCAAAAATTGAAAAAAAAAAATCAGATCAGCAAATAACAGCCTACAGGTTAAGTCTAGCATACTTTGTAAATAAAACTTTATTAAAATATAGGCACACTCATTCATTATGTATTAGGGTTGAGCATCCCTAATGTGAAAATCCTAAATGTTTCTATATCCAGAACTGCTGGAGCACTGATATGATATCACGAGTGGAAAAATGCCACACTACGCTCCTGAGACGGACTGTAGCTCAGAATAGGTACACTAGAATAAGACAAATAATGACCTCCAAGCTAAGTTTATAAGGACTCTATGAAACATAAACAAATTTACATTTAGTCTTGGGTCCTAGCCCTAAGATATCTCATTGCGTATATGCAAATATTTCAAAATTCAGCAAAATATGAGATTTAGAAGCCTTCTGGGTCCTAAACATTTGGATAGGAGATACTCAGCCTGCATCTGTGCTATGTTGGAGCTGTCGTCTCAAAGAGGACTATACAACTCACCAAGTCAAATGATGACTGTGCGGCTTCTTTAGAAGCCAGATGTCTCCTGATTTAGAGTTGTTGATTTACCATAGTTTCATTTCTATACAGGTTGGATGTATATGCACTGCTCCTACAGGCTGTTCTTTCTTTCCTTCCTTCCTTCCTTCATTCCTTTCTTTCTTTCTTTCTTCTTTTTGAGACAGGGTTTCTCTATATAACAGCTCTGGCTGTCCTGGAACTCACTCTGTAGAACAGGCTGGCTTCAAACAGAGCTCTACCTGCCTCTGCCTCGCGAGTGCTGAAATTGAAGGTGGAGTGTGCCACCATGCCAGGCCCAGGCATTACTTCATACACACAGCTCAACTCGCTGTCATGGTGTCATGAAAACTGAGTTTGGGAGCTAGGATTGTGACTGTTTGTAGAGTACTAGCTTAACACACACAACGCCCTGGCTGGATCCCAGCACTGAATAACTGAGTGTGTGGCATCTGCCTGTAATATCATTTGGGAGGTGGAGGCAGGAGTAGCAGAAGTTCAAAGCCATCCTCCATTCACAAAGAAACAATCACAACAAAAAGACTAATTTGGAAATGTACAGTTCAGTCTTGGTACTTCTGAGGAAGAGGGGAAAAGTTAACCTCTGGTGTTAGAAGGCAGAGAGTGGCTCTTAGAACTACCAGAGAGACAGTGTAGCTGTGGCCCAGGAGAACCTAAGAACTCACAATGGCAGTCTATCTAGCTGAGGTAAAAGACAGAGAGCTCAGTTACCCAGGCTCCTACTGGGGGCTGGTGCTCTGCAGGGACTTCAGATGCGACTTTGAGTCCTTGCAGCTCTTCATAGGGCAGGGTGTCCTTCTCCGACTCTGAAAATGCAGCACTCAGGGGAGTTGGACTGTCAGGCATGGGGATGAACTCTGCATTTTCCAGCTCCTGGGTCCACAAGAAAGAATCTCATCAGTTTGTTTGCAGCAATTTACTTTCTCCCAAGTTCCCTTGTAGCTTTTACTTTCATTCTGCTGTGACATCAGCACCCTCTAGTGGTGGCTAACAACATAAATCGTCTAACCCTGAAACAAACTGCCACCCTTTCTTCAGTGATGAAAATTCAGACTCAAGTTCAAGACCAGCTGCATCTGGCTCATTTCCCAACACAATTCTACACACACCATTTAGCTGGTAAGGAGGCTGAGCTGGAGGTGTGCTGTTTCCTCTGCTCTCTACCCTCACGTGACCAGTTAAGTCCTATTGGATGAAGGGCTTTAACTATGCAGGTCACTACCACCTCTTCTGTAAAAAAAAAAAATTTAAATTCCATTATGTGTGGTGGTGTATGCCTTTAATCCCAGCACCCAGGAGGCAGAGGCTGTGAGTTTGGAGTCAGATTGGCCTACATAGTGGGAAAAAAATCCATAAGCTGTAAATGTTTGCTGGCCATGCTTAACATACTAGCGATTGAGTCAAGCAGAATACAGCACCACCAATAAAACCCAGCAATCTCATCACCCTGACAAATAACCACCACAACAGTGGTCACTAGACTGTCTTATCCACATTCTTCTGTGCAATGCATTTTCTGAAAGAACAAGGTCTTACTGACAGAAAGTCCATCTTTTCATGTAAAATGGGTTACATTTTTACTGTCTGTACCTTATCTTCAATACACTATTTCCATTGTAAGGCATTTCTACTGCCCAATATTTCACTTCTATAAATAGTATATAATCCGTGAGCTTAATTTTTGCACAGGTATACTTCAATACCATTTAGATGTGGCTCCTGGTAGGTTAACTAGATTCCAGTGGAAGGACATACATCTAAGAGTATATGGGCAACACAAACTTAAAATTGAGAGGACAAAGTTGGGTTCATAGGAAGGGGGAATGGATCTGGGAAGAGTCAGGGGAGAGGGATGAATAAAATATAATCAAAAGAGAATGCACAAAATTTTCAAAGAACTAATAAAAATGAAGGAAAAATCTTTAGGATAGGTTACAAAAACAAAAAAGGTAAGTTACATGAATTTATTACATTCACTTTAATAATACAGGCATAAAGGAGCTGGGCCCACTGGCAGTGCATGTCTTTAGTCCCATCATTTGGGAAGCAGAGACAAGTGGATCTCTGTGAGTTCCAGGACAGCAAGGGCTATAAACTGAGACCCTGTCTTAAAAAAAAAAATCGGGGTATGAAAACATGCCATATCCTTCCTTCTTAGAAATGAAAACAGGGTTAGCTGTGTGGTACCTTCTTTCCAGGTGGGAGTCTGAACCCTTGTCTGCTGTCTAAATTAGGAGGACACAAGAAACAGAGACCCTGGCAACCCTTCCTGGCTCCTGCTACAAACTTCTCTGAGGTATCTGTCCCAAAGGATTACCTTTCGAAGCCAGCCAGGGCAGGAGCTGCTAGCCCCACAACTGTCCCCCACAGCCTCTGTGGGGCTGATTAAACCATCCATTCCACGGTCTGCTTCCATTGTTCCTCGGAAGCCTCCGCTTGGATCTGGAGTTTCAGATTCCCGCTGACTGTCTTCCTCTTCACCGCTGCCACCACCGCCACCAACGCCACCTCCACCACCTCCTGGGCTGGAACTCTGAACCACTGGTAGATGTGTAGTACAGAAAGAAAGAGCTTTTCTATGCCGTAGAGACTGACCATCTGACAAACCCACTCCTCCCTACAAAAGTTCCTAGAGTTGCATGAAGTGGAATGTTCAAACAAATATTTACACTAAACTGTTAAGTTTTTACATAGGGTTTATAATTTTATAAATAACTTTTAAAAAGTTTTGTTTTACTTTATGTGCCTGCATGTATGTCTGTGTACCATGTGCATACGTTGCCCTCAGAGGTCAGAAGAGGGTGTCAGATCCTCTGTAACTGGAGTTACAGATGGTTGTTAGCTGCCATTTGAGGGCTCTCTAAAACCTCAGTTCTTTGTAAGAGTCAACAGGTGCTCTTAACTGATGAAACAACTCTCCAGCTCCTCATTATTTTATTTTATTTTATTTTTTTGGTTTTTCGAGACAGGGTTTTTCTGTATTGTTTTGGAGACTGTCTTGGAACTCGCTCTGGAGACCAGGCTGGCCTTGAACTCACAGAGATCTGCCTGCCTCTGCCTTCCGAGTGCTGGGATTAAAGGCGTGCGCCACCACTGCCCGGCTGCTCCTCATTATTTTTAAAAGTGATTACATTAATTTACCGTGTGTATGCATGTGGGCACGTGTAGAGGTGTAGACAACCTGCAGACGTTAGATCTGTCCTACCATGTGGATCTTCTCAGGACTGAACTCAGGTTGTCAGGATGGCAGCATGAGCCTTTAGAGTCATCCTGTAGGCCCAAACTTATTCTTTCGTTTTGTTTTTTGAGACAGGGTTTCTCTGTGTATCCCTTGCTATCCTGGAACTTTCTCTGTAGACCAGCCTGGATTCGAATTTACAAAGATCTGCCTACCTCGGCCTTTCAAGTGCTGGGATTAAAGGCATGCACCACCACTGCCTGGCTTGTAAATTTTTTTTTTCAAGACAGGGTTTCTTTGTGGCTTTGGAGGCTGTCCTGGAACTAGCTCTTGTAGACCAGGCTGGTCTTGAACTCAGATCTGCCTGTCTCTGCCTCCTGAGTGCTGGGATTAAAGGCGTGCTCCGCCAATGCCCATCATAAATTTTTATTCTTGAGACAGTGTCCTTATATCACCCAGGCTGATCTTGAACTTAGCATGTAGCTGAGAATAGCCTTGGACTTCTGATCTTACTGCTACATCTTCCCAGTGCCAGGTGTATAATCATGTGCCACCATGCCAGGCTTACATAAAGGTATTTTTATGTTATGATCACCATAATTTTTTCATGTCTGGTTTCCAAATCCTAGTACACATCTAGCAAGTAATTCACTAGCAGTGTCTTCCACTGGCATCTATCTTCTATAAAAAGTTCAACAGTGAGTCAAACTCCTCTTAAGTTTGCACAAAAGAAGAAGATAGATTCTGAGACATTGATATACACATGACTTCTCAAAGGAGGAAATGAGGAATAGTTTTAGTTTCCTGGCATGGACTCAAGTAATAGAGAATCATGAAAAAAACTATAGTTGGAAAACTAGGAGAGGGTATAGGCTGATTTCCTAAGTTAAAGGTTTAACTGACTTTTCTTTCTGAGGGCCTATTTTAAAGGTAAATTTTGTATGGTTGTTGGAGATAGGGTCTCACTATGTAGCTCTGACTGACCTGGAACTTGCTATATATACCAGTTTGACCTTGAATTCACAGAAATTCACCTGCCTCTGCCTTACGATTGCTGTAAATTAGTAAAGACTAGCATACCTGGAATACCATGAAATGTAAAAGGCTCATGTGATGGTAAGGAACACAAATGTCACATCACAATGTGGAGCAAGTGTCTTAACTGCTCCCACATGTGATGCAGGCATAGAAGACACAATCACCCTGATAACAATGCCAGAGCAGCAGCACTCACCAACATACAACCTCCCCTCTTAATCACAGTTTCTCAGCCCACAGACCAAACTGGCACCAGGCCAGCACCACTTACCAGTTCCTATGGACAGGCCGCTGCTGTTAGAACGGATGGTCTTAGAATTCAATACTTTCTCTGGGGGAAAATATGCAGCAGGTAAGCATCATATACAGACACTGGCAGGAAGAGTGAAGGGAGACAGGGCAGGGAGGAGGCGGTCACTGCCATTTCTGACTCCCAATAACTTAGTACTTACCACCAAACACTCTACCTTTGCAGTTCACTGGAAGCACCATGGAGGCTCTACAAAGTAATAATACCTAAATCTGACCCCAGAGACCCTGATTGAATTGCTTAAGGGTGGGACAAGACTAAGATTCATAAAAGTCAAGGTTTTTTTTTGTTTGTTTCATCATGGAGTTCAAAGTTATCTTTATGAAAAAGCATTTGGAAATTTTCTTTTTTTTAGCCGGGCATTGGTGGCGCACGCCTTTAATCCCAGCACTCGGGAGGCGGAGGCAGAGGCAGGTGGATCTCTGTGAATTCGAGGCCAGGCTGGACCGACAGCCTCCAAACAGAGAAACCCTGTCTCGTAAAACCAAAATAAATAAATAAATAAATAAAAGAATTATTGAGCCGGGTGATGGTGGCACATGCCTAATCCCACCACTTGGGAAGCTAAGACAGGTGGATCTCTGTGAGTTTGAGGCCAGCCTGGTCTACAAAGCCAGAGCTGTTATACAGAGAAACCTTGACTCTAAAAACCAAAAAACCAAAAAAGAAAAAAAACAAAATAAAAAAACCCCAAAACAAACAACAACAAAAAGAATTAAAGCAAAGGCAGGCACAACATTATTAGGTAAATGGAAGTAATAAATCCTATGATATGATGTTCAAACTGATGGTGATGGAATAAGCCTGTAATTCCTGCGTTCAGGAGGTGGAGGCAGAAGGGTCAGGAACTCAAGGTTGTTCTTGGCTACTAAGTACTGAGTTTGAGGCTGCATGGAGCTACCAGACCCTGACACAAAATCTTCCAATAGAGAAGAAGCGGCAGATGACTAACTTGGGAAATGAAAATGTTCTGTTCCTACCGCTCTGTATGGAATCTCTGTCCAGCACAAGACTTGAAAAAGCAGCCTCTGCTTCTGGAACTTCTGTTTCCAAAAATGCCACCACTAGTACTTTAGGTGAGAGTCAATCCTGTCTAAGCCATCCCAACTCCATATATATGAAACTCTTACCAACAATAAGAATGGTGTGCCAGCCACGGCAAGAAAGGTCTGGGACATGATGCAAAGATCCAAAAATAGGTCGAGGCCATGAGGTACAGATATCAGAGCCATGTGGTCTCTCGGTGGGAGTCATTGCCAGGCGGCCGTTGCCACCATTTCCCCAGGCAAAAATGTGATTATCTAGAAAAAAATTAAACAGCAGGTTAATAGAGCACTCTTTACCCAATTCTATGGGTAATCCCATTGTTACACCTTGGAACTAGAAAGATGTCCTACTAAGCACCAAATGAGAGAAAAGCTGATTGTTTCTCTATAGAACCTAGCTCTTCTTGATGCCTGGGTAAAATGAACACGGTTCCTATGTCATTCATTCATTCATTCAAACAAGTAAGCAGCAAGTATTGCTCAAGGTGTCTGAGGCAGGTCATAAAGCCAAGTACTTGCTGCAGTACTTCAGTGGGGAGAAGGACAACACAAAACCAAACAGATAATGCTTAAGTGCTATGGAGGACGGGGACTGGAGGGAAAACAAAGGATATGAGTAACAGTGGGATGGCATTTCATCATTTTAGAGAAAGTGCTCAGGGAAGTACTCTTTGATGCTTTAGCTGAACCGAGGGCGTTTCCAGGCAGACGTAAGAGTAAGAGCAAGGCTGCACAAACAGAAGAAGGAGGTCCCTAGGAGCAAAGTAAGAGAGGGACAAGTGGCAGGAGTGGTCCTGGTCATTCATATGGGGCATGCAAGCCTGACTGATGTCTTAGCCATGAGAGCCTCTTGGCAGGAGGCTCTTAAGAGGACTTCCCAGGCTGTGATGAGAACCAACTGCAAAAGAACAAAGGCGGGAGCAGAGGCCAGTTGAAGCCCTGGTAATAGCAAGACGCTGTTGGCATATTCGAAGACGCTCAGCACCATTTCCTGATGGACAGGATGGACAGTGCGGGATGGAGCTGGCTGCGTAATAAGTCTGCAGAGGAACAGGTCTGGGCAGACTCACGATGTTTCATGTGCCAACACTAGAAATCTGATTCTTGTCCAATTCTCTCTCTCTCTCTCTCTCTCTCTCTCTCTCTCTCTCTCTCTCTCTCTCTCTCTCTCTCTCTCTCTCTCTCTCTCTCTCGTCTCTCTTTCTCTGTGTATGTGTGTCTCCTCTCCTCTCTCTCTGAAATGAAGGGTAACTGATTGATTAGTGATCATGGCAGGACAACAGATATGAATCAGGACTCATCTAAAGTACAGAGTTGAGGGCTGTGGACCAAATGTCTTTAGGTCAGAGATGGTAGTACAAGCTGCAAGGTACTGAGGTGGAGAAGAGGACTGAGTCCTGGGAAGAGTGGGATGTTCCTAGCACGGCACCTGAAGACTGCCTATGTGCTTCGCCTCACATATCCAGCCAGTGCTGATTGGGACCAACACAGTACTGTACAAGACAGACACAAGTACTCAACGGTTCTGGAGATATTTTACCAAAAATATTAAAATGAAAATAAAATTGGGTTACAATATTAACTTGCCATTATCTAGAAATCTAGCCCTTAAAAAATGTACTGTATTGGACATAAAAACACATACAAGTTAAACAAAACTTCCCTTTCCTAATCAAGAATTAAAACAGCCATCTGTCTAGAAAGGTTGAAAAAAAAATAGACTCACCATCAGTGGCAGCAATGGTGAACTCATCGCCACAGGAGACCCTGATCACTTGCTTCCCACCAAGAGGTCCCCCCAACAGGTTGATTCCCAGGCGCTTCTTATAATTCCCAACACCCAGCTGCCCACACTTATTACAGCCAAACGTCAGCAGCCGGCCTCGTTCTAAGAGAGAAGCAAAAATAAGCAGTCAATCATGAATGGGTCATGAAACATAGGAGATACAGCAATGCAGGCTCCATGGACTAGAAGACAGAAATATGAAGCTACCCACATGACTTGAGGTGAGGGTATCTAGGCAGTGTGACCAATTAGAACCTTGAACTGGCCACAGCATTTCCTTTCCAGTATTTCCAACAACATTAAAACAACCCCCCACAAATGATTTATTTGTTGTGAGTGCATGGGTGGGTGCACATGCCATACTTGAGGTCAGAAGACACTTTTAGGGAACAAGACTCTCCTTTCACCCTGTAGGTTCGTGGTATCAAACTGAGGTATGGGTGGCTACCCTAACATTGCTTTTTTTTTTTTTTTTTGGTTTTTACGAGACAGGGTTTCTCTGTATTGTTTTGGAGGCTATCGGTCCAGCCCGGCCTCGAACTCACAGAGATCCACCTGCCTCTGCCTCCCGAGAGCTGGGATTAAAGGCGTGCGCCACCACCGCCCGGCCCCTAACATTGCATTTTTAATGCAGAAAAAGAGTACTGCCTTAATTTAGAATACTTATAGTAGGTGCCAATGATAAACATGGTTTTTGTTTTAAGGGTATTTATAGCCGGGCAAGGTGGTGCATCCTTTTAATCCTAGCACTCAGGAGGCAGAGGCAGGAGGATATACAAGTTTGAGTCCAGTCCAGTCTACAGATCAAGTTCCAAGACAGTCAGGGCTACAGAGAAACCCTGCCTAAAAAACAAACTATGACTTTATGCATATATGCATGTGTCTCTCTGTGTGTATGCTACATGTATAGAGTGAGGGCATCAGATCTCCTGAAGGTGAAGTTATAGTCAGTTATGAGCAGTCCAAAATAGGCACTGGACACAGAATTCGGGTCATCTGGAAGACTTGCAAGTAAGTACTACTAACCACTGAGCCATCTTTCCAGTTTGAAGTGTGGAGTTCTTACTAAAGTGCCCATTTACTTTGTATTTATAAAGATCACTTACAAAAATCTGTACTTGCATGCCTAGTTTGTTAATAAAGTAATATTGAGTACTAGGGGGAGTCAGAAGGATACATATGTCATTAAGAAAGCTAATTTGTCACAGCACAAAAGAACCCAAGCTTTGAAGCATAAGAGATACAGCTGAAAAACTTACCATCAATAGCAGCTGTATGAGTCTTGCCTGGGGCAATGGTACGGATTTTGTAAAAGGACAACTGTTTGGCCAAGGTAAAGGAGGTCGTATAGGGAACTTCATGGTATGCCTGAGACAAGTCAAACACAGAGCAACAGACTCATGAAAGCAAACAATGGTGGTGATGGAGTTGGGGAACAGACTGAGGATGGAAAAGGCCTTTCACACAAACTCTGCTACTAAGAGAGGGTGCCACATAGCTTCCCGTCTTCAGCAGGACATAAGAAACAAGCTCAACACAGAATTGGAGAACTTGGTGTAGGAAGCAGAGATTTCTGATTACAAAATCTACATCTGAATTAAAGCATGCCACACAAGAACTCTTCATCTCAGAAGATAATGATATAAGAACAGAAAAACTCAATCTGTGTTGCTTGCATACTCTGTCTAGGTAACAAGGGCAGGGCAAAGTTATTCTCTAGCTTACAAATAAATTAGTTATTGTAATCTAATTTTACCTACAAGGTAGTGTTTCATAAAATTTCACTACACATACTCCTCTGAAAGCGTGTGTGCATACATGTGCAAACACACACACACACACACACACACACACACACACTCATATCCCATGTAGCAGGGCAGTGGTGGCTCATGCCTTCAATTCCAGCACTCAGGAGGACAGAGACAGGTGAATCTCTGAGTTCGAGGCCAACCTGGTCTAGTGAGTTCTGGGACAATCAGGATTACAAAGAGAAAAACCAACTATAGCAACAAAACCAAAAATCAAAAAAAAAAAAAAACCATGTAAACAAAGCTCACAACAAACCTGCATTTTAACAAACAACAAACAACAAAATCAAGTGGTAAGCACTCTCCAGCTTTTACTCTAAATATGTGCTCTCAGGAGATTGGACTTTATACACTACATACAAATTAACCTATCTTTTTATCAAGTTAGGGAATGGCAAATTTATTTGATTTCTCTGTTTATGTATTTTTGCATTTGATGGTGAGGGGCAGGGATCAGCATTGATCTTTAGAAATGACAAAAACCCTGATACTAATACAACCTGAAAGTGTAGATGGTAATTATCCATGATAAGTTTATGTGGGGTCGGTGTTTTAGAAGCAGTAAGTCAGAGACATAGAAATGCTTCTTTTCCATGGCACAAAATTCTTGTCCCTGTCGGGTGGTGGTAGCACACACCTTTAATTCCAGCACTCGGGAAGCAGAAGCAGGTGGATTTGCTTCGAGGCCAGCCTGGTCTACAGATTGAGTACAGGACAGTTAGGGCTGTTACACAGAGAAACCCTGTCTTGAATAAACAAAACAAAAATCCATCCTGGGACAAAGAAAAGAAATACAATAAGATAAAACCCCACAAAGACCTGCGCCTCCCCTCCCTGAGGTAGCTTCTGACTACTGCCACCATGCTCATTTAGCCTGTCTCTGGACTTCATTCACATAACATAATCATATACTGGGAACTCTTTTGTGGCTGGCTTCTTTTACTAAACATAAGATCTGTGAGATCACTTTATTCTTAAGTCAAATTCCACAGTCACTAACCTATAACAACAAAGAAATCCCTACCCAGAATTCTGTCAATGTGCTTAAAATCTCAGAGGCCACTCACTTCATGGTTGATGATCCCAGACATGCACTGATTCAGCCCCAGTTTGTTGAACTCATTGAGTCCACAAGCCAGTACTTTGCCTGACTGGGTGAGCAGAAAGGTCCCATCACAGCCACACTGGACTGCAACAATGATTAAGGCCTTTGGAACATCCACCTGCAAGGAAAACAAATTGGAAAAAAATTCCAAGTACATACTTCATATTAGAAAACAACCCTCTAGTTACATCATAATGCCGCCCACCCACTTGGAGATCACCCTTCCTAACACAGCCTCAATATTTACAACACAGAGGAAAAGGCTGTGGTTGGAATGAATGCACGCTCCCTGTCAGTCTGTTTTAGGAATGGGCCCTACTTCTTTGGAGAAGGTTTTTGCAGAGGGGAGACTATGCAGACAGCTGGGAGAGGGGTCCAATCTCTAGCTGGCTTTGTCTTCTGACATGGAGGGCTCCTGGACAGTTTTAGAAGAAACACAGCAGCCTGGACATCTCAGTCTTCTAGACATTGTACGGAGGTAGCAGCTAGGACTTCCATGCATTTCTACAGCTTATAAGACAGGGTTAGAGAATGAAGGGTGTCAGATGGGGTCATGGATATGTGTTAAACCTTGAGCCTCTTTCTTTTCACAAGAGGAATGATTGTTAATCTAAAGACAGTCTCTATGTGCACCATTTAATCCTCAGAAAACAAATAACAATTGGCAACCATAAATGGTACAATAGTTAACATTCCCGTGTCAGGTAAGCCTGGGGCCTAGGGCATGTAAGAGAGGTGTGACTGTGCTTGTCCCTCAGCTGACCCAGGACCTAGGAGCCTCTTATAATGCCAGCTCTGGCAGTCCTGACAGTAATTGGATATATCTCCTACCGCACAGCCTCTAAGCAAAGACAATTTTCTCTGGTGTTCAACTCCAGTGATGGAAGGCTGGGGTAAGATAACATGTCACTTTCTACCATCTTAAGGAGATTTAGCTGTCTGTGACACTTTCTGTTTTATATGCTGATTTTAATTTCATCTCTGAGTAAGATGTGATTGCAATGTCCATAACAGCTGGATCTACTTTCTCAATTTTCTGTGATTTAGTCAGATGACAAGACCACATAGTACTAAATCAAGAACCCTAGACTGCCAGTCTCCTAGACAGGAAAGACTTCAGAAACAATCACTCTGATATGAGGAGTCAGGAGAGCGAGGTCCTTTTGGAGTCTGTGTTTTAGATAGGCTGTAGGAGAAGCTGTTCCTCAGTTTACCCTCTGTGGTGTATAGTAATCCTCTTCTGAATCCAAACCCAGGCGTCCTGAAACACACACGAGAATGACACATTACACGAAGCATGTTCTTCCCCAGGAAAAGACTGAGGTCATGGTGAGCACCTGGAAGGAACAGGCTTCACCTACCATATTCACCACAGCCCCAAGAATAGACTTCCTTGCTTCGTGTCAGAACCACCACGTGGTTATCTCCACAGGAGACCTGCTCCACTGGATTGCTGAGGAAGAAGCTCAGCTGCATGGGTTCTAGCACTTCAGGGCCAGAGACTTTGTCCACCCCCATGCAGCCATAATAATCTGACCCAAAGGCATAGAGCTGACCCTCATCTGCAAAAGGAAAGGAGTAAGCAATCAGAAAGCAGGGCAGAGCTGGGAAAAGGACTACCTCAGCCAGTGGTCTCACAAGAGATATGATCACATCAGAAGTCAGGACTATACAAGCTGTTTGTAGTTAGGGAACCACATATAGTATTCCTAGTGTAATGAAGAGTCTAGGATTATCATGCTAAATGGTCTTCAAATTTTCCTAGAGGCTTCCCATTTTGTAGACAGACAGAAATACCAAGGACGGGACCAGAGAAGTAGATCAGCAGTTAAGAATATGTACGGGTGGGGAGAGATGGCTCAGAGGTTAAGAGCACTGGCTGCTCTTCCAGAGGTCCTGAGTTCAATTCCTATCAACCACATGACGGCTCATAACCATCTGTAAGGAGATCTGGTGCCCTCTTCTCGCTTGCAGGTGTGCATGCAGACAGAACACTGTATACATAATAATACTAAAAAAAGAATATGTACTGTTCTTCCAAATGGCCCTAGATTGATATCTAGCAACCATGCCAGGCAGCTCACAACTATAACCCTAGTATTAGGGTGGGGTGGGAGATCTGAGGCCTTCTTTTTGCCTCCACAATACGAATTACACTCATGTGTGCAAACCTATACTAAGATATACACATACACATAAAATTTTAAAAAATGCTATCAAGGACTTATCAAGTAATGATAAAAATCAAAGCTATATGTAACTTTGATCCTGCTTTTGTGTCATGTAGAACCTATAGTAGGGCACACAGTAGCTTTCTATCTCGTATCTTCTTCATTATCCACCTTTCCTTTTCTTGCAAATTGGGAAGTTTCTTTTGTTTGTCTTAGTGTTGGGAATTGAACTTACAGCCTTGCTTAAGCTGTACAAGTGCTCTACCACTGAGCTATTCTCCCCAAGCTTGGGAATGTTGTTAATAATGAGTATATTTGCTTACTGCCTTTTGTTTTTTTGGTAGTCTTTTGCTATAAAATCTCAACTAAAATTGCATAGCATTAGTACAATGCTTCATATGAAATGTACTCAAAATGTTTTTGTTATTGGCTTACCTGTCACACAAACAGTGAAATCATCACCACATGACACTTGGTGGATAGCTTTTCCTTGCAACTTTTCCACATGCTTTGGCTGTCGGTAGGAAGCTTTGTCTCCATGTCCTAGCTGACCATGAAGTTTAGTGCCCCCTTGCATGTTCTGTTAAAAAAGAGGTCTGTGAAGTTTCAACTTTTCACACTAAAAGTTAATCATTAGTATCATTTCTTCTGAAGAAAAACAGAAAAAAATACTGGAAATTTAAAGACAAAAGTGGGGAAGGAGATTAAAGCTTTCAAAGGACTTTTTTTTTGAGACAGGATCTCACTATAAAGCACTGGCTATCCTCAAACTAAACTCTGTGTAGACCAGGCTGGGCAATCTGCCTGCCTCTGCCTCTTGAATGCTAGGATTAGAAGTATTCACTGCTGTGCCCTGCTAGAATAAAGCATTTATTGGTTAATATACAACCCTACCTACAGGTAAATAAGATTTTAAAACATATCTATATTCATACCCATCAGGCATCAGGACAAATTCCAAATGACCTTTATTTTAGTATAGGGTGAATTTTATGTTTAACTATGGGTGATTAATATAGAGTATAATCTGATTGCTTTCTGTTCTAATTTGGTTTCTGCTACTTTGATGAATACTATGACTTAAAGCAACCTGGAAGGAAAGGGCTTACAGTTTACAATCTATCATCAAGGGAAGTCAGGACAGGAGCGCAAGTCACAAACGGAAGCAGAAGCTACTACTGTTTACTGGTTTCTCCTCATGGCTTGCTTGGTTTGCTTTCTTACAGCACCCAGGACCACCTGCCCAGGGGTGGTACCACCCACAGTGAGCTGGACCCTCCCCAATTAAGAAAATGCCCCACAGAATGCTAATCTGATGGAGGCAACTTTTCAATTGAGGTTCCCTTTATCCAGCTGACCAGTTTATGTTGAGATGACAAAAACTAACCAGAACACTTTCTAAATGAGTATAGTAACCTCTTGAAAAGCACCTGCACTAGAAATTTATAGATTTTGGGCAGCTCCCTTAAAACAGAACAGTTAAAAAGACCATAGCTATACCAAAAAGAAAACAAAAATAAGAAAGAGAAACTTTGATTCCATCAAGGAAGGTGCTATGGGTAATAAGAGCAGTCCTCGCTGCTTTGCAACAGTTTCAGAGACAGCAATTCTTTCCCTGCACTGACTCAAGTACAACCCGTAGTAAATTGTGGCCAGGCAACACTTTCATTCCATTTCAGGCTGCTGCCTCAGGCGAATGCTCTAAATGATAAGGTTTGGGAAATAACATTCCTCTGTTACAGAGGTCAAATCTCTCATTCTTTTAGATTTCACAATTACTGGTTCTCTACTCTCACACGATGGAGATGGAGCACTGGATAAGACAGTACAGCCCTGGTGCCTGTGAAGAAGGCTGAAGCCACTGAAACACAGAGGAGCTCCCTCAGAGGAAGCAGGAGTGGGGCAGGGCTGGGCAGGAGCAAGTACCCGAAACGCACCTACAGAAGGTACAGCCGTGAAACAGAAAGCAAGAGCATGTGCTATCATGGAAGCCAGGTGACAACAGAACCTCTAGGAGGGAGAGGTCATTAAGCTAGGTGTTGCTGAGAGGTCAACCTAGGTCAGGACAAAAGGTGTTTATTTTACTTTAGCAGTTTACAGGCCATTTGGGAAGAGCCATGCTAACTGAGTGGCAAGGATAGAAGCTGTACTGTGGGTGAGTGAGGAGAGTGGGAGACCTGGAAAAAGCAGAATACACTGGTGATGAACACCCCTAACCCCAGCACTCGGGAAGCTGCAAATTCTAGATCAGCCTTGGCTACAGAGTTATGACCCTGTCTCAAAATAAAAATGCAACAATAACCAACAACAAAATGGTAGGGCCAAGCTATTTTCATTCAGAGATGAGGGTCTGGAAGGTTTCCTGACACGGCAGTGTTTCATTTGTTTATGAAATTATTTCACAGGTACTAGCTGCTCTAGCCTCATGATAACAGAACACAAGTACCTGACATATCCAAAATCAACTCGTTGTCCATGACAGACAGCGCAGTCTTCTGAACCCAAACCCAAGTTCTCTTACTCTCCTTTTCCTCTCTCATCCACTACCCAGGAACCATTATGTAGGAGTGGAGCTACATGAGTGAACTGCAAAGCCCACAGCTGCTCTCAGAGGAGCTCACGTTCATCACTTGTCTCATCCCTGCAGCACAAGGGCAGCTGACAGAGCCTATACAGCCTGGGCCCAGAAGCAGTGGGGCTTGTAGCAACTCTACTCACCACCCACGTGTATAGTTCCTTCTCCACAGTGACCACAGCAAAGTGGGTGTTCCCTGCGCACACCTGTCGGGCACTACAGCCACTCTTGATGACGTCCAATTTCTGGGGTGTAGATTTTCCACCACCCCAAACATAGACTTCACTGGTTCGTGATGTCACCACAGCAATGGGTGCTTCAGTCACAGTGCTTGACCTGCCAGCAATCCCCAAACATATTTAACATAGCAATGGTTTCAAAGAAGACAGGGGTATATGCTCAGGGCTTGACTAGCAAGCATGAAGCCCTGGGTTTGATCCCTGGTAAGCCCCATAGTAAAAGCAGTGTAGGTTGCATACTTCTTTCAAAAAAAGAAAGAAGTCTATTCCCTCAGAAAAACTGCCAATTTTGGCATGACAAAGTATGTTCTTTCAACCCTTTCTCATAACAGGCTTCATCACGGCTCAGTCAGACCAGATTTCAGCCAGTCCCTAACAGCTCCATTCTCCACTTTTCAAAATTCAGCATGGGAATAACATCCACTTCATTGTGAGAGAAAATTAGGGCTTTCTTTTTTCTCTTCAGAAAAGACTGTCTGGAGGCTGGAGAGATGGCTCAGCAGTTAAGAGTACAAGTGCTCCTTCAAAGGACAGTTCCCAGCAACCGTATCAGGTGGTTTACAACTGCCTAAAATCCAGCTCCAGGGGATCCAATGCCTTATTCTGGCCTTTGAAGGCACCTGCATGCACACAATGCATGTACACAATACAGGCACACAGCACACACACACACACACACAAATAAATCTTAAAAAAAGAAAAAAGAAAAGCAATGCCCATCAGACACTTAAGCCGATGCTGGCTCCCAAAATGACATCACAGGTTGTGGGGATCAAATAATGCCATAGTAGGCTCAAGCAAGCCTCTCATATCAGGACCTGAGGACACAAACATTCCCACAGAGCCTCCTGAGCATTACCTTGGTCTCCTTGTAGGCGCATTAAGCAGAGTGACTTTTTCTTCCATCTCTCTACCAAAAGGAAAATACAGTTACATGAGTACATTGCAACCATGTCCCTTTAATACATTTCATGGATTAAATTTTATAACCATATGCTTGCATCCTACAATATGACAGTATTTTTAGGAAGGTAACTCAACAAACTGAGTTACACTGGCCTCACATTCTATGACTTGTGAAATACAAGGGGGCAGCATTTGAGGCCTTTGCTTTGTATGTATGAGAAACAGTCCAGACTAGAATAGGGAGCCTTGAGAGCCTTCTCTCCTAATCAATTCAACTCTAGTCAATTCTGACTCTTCTCTTCCTCCCTCCCTCCCTCCCTCCCTCCCTCCCTCCCTCCCTCCCTCCCTCCCCCCTCTCCATTTCTATAGAGTCTACTTATACAGCACATTTTAAGACTCTGTCTCTCTCCTCTCTCTCTCTCTCTCTCTCTCTCTCTCTCTCTCTCTAAGATTTATTTTATTTTTACTTGTGTGTTGGGGGGTCATATATGCATATGAGTGCCGGTGCTAGCAGGGGCCGAGGAGTCATATTACTTGGAGCTGGAGTTACAGGTGGCTGGACCCTGCCTGAAGTGAGTACTGGAATTGAACTCAGATCCTCTGCAAAAACAGCAATGCTTAACCCTATGCCTTCTCTCCAGTCTGTGCGCTCTCTTGGGAACTAAGCTTGGCCTTCAAGAGTGCCGACCCCTTTCCCTTCCTCACGACCTGTACTCCAGCCAGACTCACATTCTGCACCAATCTATGAATTACTACAATATCGCTCAGGCATCAATAGCTTTTGAAAGCTCTTCAGAGACCTTGGCCAGGTCTAGAACCACTAAATAAAAGTTGTGTTTCCAGAGTATTTTACATAACTTTCTGTATTTATGCTTTTCATTCTTATTATTTTTCTCTGCCTAGAATATGGAATCTTATATTTGAGAAAGTACAAAATAAAAAATTTAATTAAAAATTGAAAAATTCAGTTAAGAGATTAAAGCCATGACTTCATTGTTGAGAAATAAGCTAGCTAAAAATTTTAAGTATGCTTAATGAATCCCAAATGATAATAGTGCCCGAATATGCACAGAACATAAGTAGCTGCTCACAGGCTGAATCTGGGTATAACACATAATTCTAGATATTGAAACACTGATTATAAGACAGCGAGGCTCGGGAAACACTGGGGATCAGAGGTGGAGATGGGGAAGAATGCTGACACGCTGTCTTCTGGACATGAGGTATGGCTACCTGAGCAGATCAAATCAGCAGGCTCAGTTAACATCCCACAGGCAGTATTAATTAAGATTCCATGGTCTTTAAAAACAAAGAGAGATGACATGAAGCTGGGAGGGGGAGTGCTGGGAGCTTCTGGGTGAGAAAGGAAGAGTTGGGGGTGGAATTGACCAAGATATATTGCTACATGCATCAAACTGTCCAAGAACAAATAAAAGATACTGTTGCAATTTAAAAAATGAGCACGAGAGAGAAAGATGCCACGAGACAGAGCCTGGGTGGAGGTTTTTTTTGGGGGGGGGAGTGGATGGGAAAAGGGGAGAAGGGAGAGGGGAGACCCACCTCTAGGGACAGGAGCAGCAGAAGAGAAGAGAGAGGGGGAGAGACAAGGAGAGACAGACAGACAGACACACACACAGAGATAGAGGGAGGGAGGGAAGGAGGGAGGGAGGGAGGGAGGGAGGGAGGGAGGGAGGGAGGGAGAGGGTGGGCAGGGCCCTTTTAAAAGGGAACATGGTGAATGTGCGCAGGTGGTGCTCTTAGTGGCTGCAGCTGAGGGTAAACCCTGTCAGGACCCCAAGGACAGGCCAGTGCAGATGCCTGGATATTAACAGACACACACACACACACACACACACACACACACACACACACACACACACACACACACACACACACACACACACACACACACACACAGAATAAAACAAAGGGGGAGAGACAGCTCAGTAGTTAAGAGCACTCACTGCTCTTACAGGAGCCAGGGCTTTGGACCCTATATCCGTACAGCAGCTCACAACCGACTACAGCTCTAGTCACAGGTCATCTGCTGTTCTGGCATCAGGTATGCATGTGGTGCATAATACATGCAAACAAAACACACATCTTAAAATAATAAAGCAGCTAGAAACTAGGAAAATTAATTATGGAACAAAAACTTCAATGTACCCTAAACTATAGAAGGATTAGAAGAAAAGGAAAAGAGCTTCAGAACATTGTCTAGACAAAGCAGAGGCAAGAAGAGCAAAAATTAAAACATGGGATACATCATATTAGAAAACTTCTATACAGCAAAGCAAACAACACAGTAAAGAAACAGCCTATAGAGTAGGATAAAATATTGGCAAACTCCACTTGCTAATTTCTCAAATACATGAAGGACTTGATCTATTCAATTAAAAGGAAATAACCCAACCTTATTTTTTTTTTTTTTTTTTTTGTGGTTTTTCGAGACAGGGTTTCTCTGTAGCTTTGGAGACTGTCCTGGAACTCACTTTGTAGACCAGGCTGGCCTCGAACTCACAGAGATCCGCCTGCCTCTGCCTCCCGAGTGCTGGGATTAAAGGCGTGCGCCACCAACGCCCAGCCTAAAAGTACTTTTTTTTTTTTTATTTTTTGGTTTTTTTGAGACAGGGTTTCTCTGTAGCTTTGGAGGCTGTCCTGGAACTCACTTTGTAGACCAGGCTGGCCTCGAACTCACAGAGATCCGCCTGCCTCTGCCTCCCGAGTGCTGGGATTAAAGGCGTGCGCCACCAACGCCCGGCTTATTTTTTTGTTTGTTTGTTTGCTTGTCTTTTTCCCAAAACAGGGTTTCTCTGTGTAACACTCACTTTTCTGGAACTCACTCTGTAGACCTGGCTGGCCTCAAACTCACAGAGATCTGCTTGCTTCTGCCTCCTGAGTGCTGGGATAACCTCATTTTTAAAGTAGTTAATTAGACACTCCTCAAACATTCTTTAAAAAGGCACATGTATAAGAAATTTTCAATATCACCATCCATACACACACCCAAGAGCAAATGAAAACCAGGGGAGATTTTCTTGCCCTAATTAGAAGACTTTCCTCAGCCGGGCATTGGTGGCGCACGCCTTTAATCCCAGCACTCGGGAAGCAGAGGCAGGCAGATCTCTGGGAGTTAGGCCAGCCTAGTCTACAGCGTGAGTTCCAGGACAGCCTCCAAAGCCACAGAGAAACCTTGTCTCGGAAAAAAAAAAAAAAAAAAAAAAAAGACTTTCCTCAAAAAGGCTAAAAAGTAACAGACAGTGGCAAGAATGTGAAAATGTGGAGAGACAGGAACTTACTCCCTGCTGGTGGTAATAGAAATAAATTAGTATGCTATGGAAAATGGTATGGAGGTTCTTCAAAAAATTAAAAATGGGCTGATGGATGTCTATAATCTCAGTGCCTGGGAGGCTGAGGAAGGAGGACGGCACATTTGATTTCGGCCTGGATTACAGAGCAGGATCCTGTCTCCAAACAAGAACTCTCTACTCCAAGTTCCTAAATGCAAATCTTAGGATAGGGAGGAACAGAGAACTCTTGGGTCCTATCAGGACAACTCCAGAATAAAGAGTTTGTAAAAGCGAGGAGGAACCCTTAAACAATGAGAATGGGGTGCTGGGGAAGGAAACAGTCCTTTTCTTGTGTACTGTCAACCATCTCTGCATGAAGTGATTTCTTTGTAGATTACCTCCTGCGTTTCCTGAGAAGTGGGAGATCCAGAAGTTCATCTGCAGTGGGTCTCCGCTCAGGATCCTAAACAGTGAAAAAATAGTAGTTTTCTTTTAAAGTGAATGGACAATATGAAATCTAGTGGCGAATTTTATTTTTGCTCAGAAGGCTGTAAATAAATTAGCTGAAGACCAATATGCATATATACTTTTATTTTAAAAATTATAATTTCCAAGAATGAGAGGCTCAGAATGCCTGTTGATATATCCTGTCCCCTAGACACAATAGGGAAATGCATCCATGAACTATCAATAATATGGCTGCTGAATAAGACCATCATAATTGGCACCACCAGTTAATATGTCAACAAGGATGAGAAATCCCACATGGTCCCAGTTCTAGATGAAGAGCTACAGGTAGTCAATGGCCACTGAACAAGGAAGACTCATTCTCTTCCACAAATGAACTCCTACATAGGTTGTCCAAACTCAAGTGGTCAGCCCTAGACACATGTACACACAAAAAAGAGGGCTGGATCCTCTGGAGCAGGAGTAACACATAGTTGTGAGCTACTGTGTGGGTGCTGGGAATTGAACCTGGGTCCTCTAGAAGAGCACCCAGTGCTTAGAACCGCTGAGCCATCCCGCAAGCCCCAATAATGATATCTTTATATAACCAGGAACAATGCAGTCATCTTTTTCTTCTAGAACTGGAACTCTATAGGATATATACACATGTGTACACACACACACACACACAGAGACACACAAACACACATGCATGAATATATTTACATGTGTATATACGTGTAACAATAATAATTAAAGAAGAAATCAAGAATGGGGAGGAGGGACATGGAAGGAGTTAGAGGGGGAAAAAGAGGGCAGGGGTGATTAGCACCCATGTATGAAGTTCTCAAAAAAAGGGGCTAGAGAGATGGCTCAGCAGTTAAGAGCACCTGACTGCTCTTCCAGAGGCCCTGAGTTCAATTCCCAGCAACTACACAGTGACTTAAAACCATCTGCAATGGGATCTGATTCCCTCTTTTGGTGTGCATGAAGACAGAACACTCATATACATAAAATATATGAATAAATAAATCTTTAAAACAACAACAAAACTATAATAAAAATGATAATTTCTTGCCAGGTGTGGTGGAGCACACTTTTAATCCCAGCACTTAGGATGCAGAGGCAGGTAAGTCTTTGTGATTCAAGGTCAGCCTGGTCCACATAGCAAGTTCCTGGCCAGCCAAAGCTACATAATTAGACTTTGTTTCTAAAGATTATTTTTTTCTTATGTCACATTCCCATGTTTGATGCTTATTGATTCTCTTGCTATGACAAACCCTGCACAGAGTGAGGGTTTGTATAATGTATCCTCCTCATCTGCTCAGTTAAGACAACAACTCTCAAAGCCTAACACATAAGCACTGCGTCACCTTAGGCACTTGTAAACAGATTTCTGGGCTTTATTCAGAGACTGAATTTAGGTCTGAGGTAAGGCCCAGGAATCTTCTTTTTCCTTATAAAACTCTCTGACTGGGTGATTCTGATGCTAGTGGCTTTCAGGTCATGCTGTCAGTAACACTAGAATTCAGTACACAATAAAGAAGCTTTAATATAACTATATATATATATATATTCTTTATGCTAAGAATTTAAAATTATACCTGACTGTAGGTTGTTTTTCCCAACACAGGGCTATCCTGAAATTTCCTCTGTGGAGCAGGCTGACCTTAAACCCACAGAAATCCTCCTGCCTCTGCCTCCCCAGTGCTGAGATTAAAGGCATGTGCCACCACCACCCAGCATGACTGTAGTTTTATAAAAATCAAACTACAAGGTGTGATGATGTATCCTTATAGTTTCAGTACTCAGAAGGCTGATCCTGGAGGATCATAGCAAGCTCAAGGCCAGCCTGAGGTATGTAATCACAAACCTTGTTTAAAAAAACAGAAGACAAAACTTGACCAAAAAAATTGAACAAAATTTAGATGTTAAAATCATCTTACAATTACATATGTCCAAAACAGGAAAAAGTAATGTCTGGAGAGACGGGTCATCTGTTAAGAGTACTAGCTGTTCTTCCAGAGGACCTGGGTTCAGTACCCAGCACTCACATGACAGCTCACAATTGTCTGTAACTTTAGATACAGGGGATCAGACACCTTCACACAGACATACATGCAGGCAAAACACCAATGCACATAAAATAAAAATAGATAAATCATTTACAAAATACTAAGGCTTTGTGTGCTTATCCTGTGACAAGTATGAGGTAGGAGATGTGGCTTTGTGTGCTACATGAAGTAAGTGAATATATCAAGCCTACCTGGTCGAGGCATGCGTGGACCAACTGGATCAGTTCCAGAGAATACTGACTAGAGTCAACCTCCATGGCCCGGATTCCCTGCACAATCTTCACACACAGGTTGAGTGGGTTCTAGAAGAAAATGATAACTGCTTTGTTCCTAGTTATACAGAGAACAACACTGGAGCTTGAGGGATGGCTCAGCAGTTAAGAACACTGGCTGATCTTCCAAAGGACCTGGGCTCAATTCTTAGCACCCACATGGCAGCTCACAACTGTCTGTGACGCCAGTTTCAGGGAATCTGATGCCTTCACATCAATGCATATAAAATAAATTTAAATAAATTATTAAAAGAAAAAAGATTTAAAGAGATTTGCTGTCCACAGAAACAAAGGCTATCCTTATTTAGAGAGCATGTGATGTTTCAAAATACTTCGACAGGTGTTATACATAATATGCCTTAGCTTGAAAATAAAACAAAACTGATGTAGCTAAAGTATAAGAAATGAAATCATTTTTCCAAACTGTAGCATCACACAGGTAACTCTAGAGTCTGTATTAAAATCACAGTCAACAAACTCAAGCTCAGTGTTCCAGCTGCTTGTTTATGGTCATTTCAATAGAGGAATTCAAGTTGGAGATAAACTGATGTGTAGCTATAACCCAGAATCTAACTTCAGGTGATTTCTGTTCAGGAAATCAGAAATTCAGGGATAAATGAAATTGATTCACTTCAACATGCATCCTATTGCAAAGACATTATGGGGGCAATACATCAACTTACCGTAGCATCAAATGTTCTTTTTAGAGTAAGTAGTTCAAAAATGACACAGCCAACTGCCCAGATATCAGACTTGAAATTGTACTTTACTCCTTGGCAGAGCTCTGGAGACATGTAATAAGGAGTGCCCACAAGCTAAATAACAAAAACAAACAAAAAAAAATACAGAATTAACTTCTTTTTTCGGATAATTATATAAAAATTTCAGTAGTTAAATTAAGAGTTACAGGAATTAGTGATAACAATCAGAAATCGTCCATTAGCAGGTTGCAAACAGGTTTTCATGAGATTATGCCAACTCAAAGAAAAATAGTGGGGCTCAGCTCAGTGGGAAGAGGAGAAGCCAAGCATAGCAGGAGAAACAGTGTTCACAGCAACTCTCCTAGGCCACTTACCAAAGAGCAAATTTTGGTAAGATAACTTGGAAGACTAAAGCTCAGTGGTTTATGCCTCACACCGGCTTTACACATTCAAGGTCTACTCCAAACTTCCAAACAGGTAAGACACTGGGATGACTAATCTTGCTTGACAAGCTGACCACATCTGGAATCAACTAAAACCCAAGCAGTGGGGCACACCTGTGAAGGTTTTTTCTATATTGGAACATTTGACATGGAAACACCCATCTAAGATCTGAAGTTGGTCAAGACTTACCTGGGCTACACAGGAGTCACACAAAAAAGACCACAGAGGTCTGAAAATAAAAAATGCTGTGTATACTAACTACACCACTTCCAAGATCACAGACATTTTAATCAGCAAACCAAAAATTTCAAAAGGCTTACATGGCATTTATACATTTTTGTATTAGTTCTTTATTACACTTAACTAGCAAAAAATAAGAGTCAAATCTTGGTTTTATCAGATTGAGTTTGACGAGGAAAAAAAAAATCCATAAAGAAAGAATAGCTTCTTTAGAAGTTCAATTTAGCCAGGTGATGGTGGTGCATGCCTCTAAGCCCAGCACTAGGGAGAGGAGACAGAGGCAAGTGAATCTCTGTGAGTTTGAAGCTAGCCTGCTTTACAGAGAAAGTTCCAGGACAGTCAGGGCTACGTAGAGAAATCCTGTCTCAAAAAACCAAGTTCAATTGGCCACTATCATACAGATATCTCTGAAATAGACTCTCAACCTGGATGTCTAAATTGTTTGCCTGAATGTCTTAACATTATCAGAAAACGTCAAGACAAAGTTAATTCCATTAACTTTTTATTAAAGATTTACTTATTATGTATACAGTGTTTTGCCTGCATGTATGCCTGTAAGCCAGAAGAGGGCACCAGATCTCATTACAGATGGTTCTAAGTCATCATGTGGGTACTGGACTTGAACTCAGGACCTCTTTGCCACTGAGCCATCTCTCCAACCCCTAATTCTCTTAACTTATATTTCCAAGTTTTTTTAGGGGCAGAACACTGTAAAACCAGAAGAGCAATACTTGGGTTTTAAAGTTAAAAGGATAAGATCACTGTCCTAAGGCCAGCTTAGGTCCACTTTTTAGATAATAATCAAAAATTAGGAAGGATGGTTCAGAAGCTAATGGTACTTGTTGCTAAGTCTGACATCTGAGTTTGACCCTCAGAATCCACAGGATAAAAGGCGTGAAGTGACTCCCTCCAGTTTTCTTATAACCTCCATATGCATACATGCATGTAGGCACATATGCATGTGTACTCACACAAAATAAACAAAACATAACAAAAACCAAAAAACATATTAAGGGAACTATAGAGACAGCTCTGTGGATAAGCATACTTGTAGCTCCCAACACCCACATTAGGTGGCTCACAACTACCTATAATTCCAATATCCTCTTCTGATCTCTGTGGGCACCTACAATCATGTGTATATAAACTCATGTACGCACACACACACACACACACACACACACACACACACTTTTAAAAACTTCAAATAAGTTAAAGATAAAGGCTATACTCACTGTCTCAGCCATGGAATATTCAGAATTAAGTTTCTTTGCGAGGCCATAGTCTCCAAGCTTTATCAAGTTTGCCTTGGTCAGAAAAATATTTAATGTCTTTATATCTCTGAAAAAGAAGGTGTAATACGTTAAATACCTGTAACAATGACCTAACCTCCCTTCTTCCCTTTACCACCAGTTGGTTTCTGTCACGATACCCAAGAAGGGGCTTGGGAAGGAAAGGTAGAGAACTATCTTTACAGCAAAGGAGCATCTCACAGTGCTCCAGACACCCATATTCCTGACACACACTGCCTTTTCAGCTACCAGTTAGGCCTTGAATTAGATACCTTAACAGACAGATGGTGTCCAAGTTTCAAAGAGTCTGTTAAGGCACAAAAGACTGCAAGCCTCAGAAACAACACACTAGGCTGTTTCAGTCATCTAGATAAAGCTACTAGCCACACTTCCAAAGATGAGCTGATCATATAACACAATCTCTGTCTGCCTCACACTCTGGCTTCTTTACTGCAAAACGTGAGTGAACGAAACAATACAACTCTTTACTTCTAAAAAGAAAGTAACAACTACACAATGTAGGCATTTGGTAGCTTTATAGACATATAGTCTAACTAAATGGACTAACTACTAAAAGGAACTCTGGCATATTCTAACCAGTTGCTAGCAGTGGGCACTGGCTTAGGAAGGATACAACAATGTGGAAATGTTCCTATAATGGCTTTCTTCTATTGTAAGAACTGAATGGGAACCTTTTCTCCCCAAATCTTTACCAAGTAAATACCTAGCAAAATCATATGAAATGAAATAGGCTTTTATTTAAATCAAAATAAAGTTATAGTAGGAACAATTGCCAACTAATCTTCCTCACTGTGAATTCCCTTTCCAGAACTTTCTAGGCTTTAGATATAAACCAATGAACTCAACTCTAAGGTACAGCTAAAAGAAATGACTAAGAACTCCGTGATTTATCAGCTGAGGAGACTCTTCTGAGATCACAAACCTGGTCTACCCTCAGAGAGAAGACAACGTCCTTTTCTACTCACTCCTCCCCTAACTGTCAATGGAGAAACCGTGACAAGAGTATGACAACGGGACGTCCTCAGGGGAGACACTGGATTGGTAGTGAAGACTCCAATCCACAACTTCCTTTTCAGTCATTACCTATGGAGGATGCCAGCTCTATGGATACAGCTCACGGCTGAAACAATCTGAAAAAGGTACCATACCACCATCTGCAGATTCAAAATAAGTCATAATTGGATTAGAAACAGGAACTCCATTTAAATAAAGACACACACACACACACACACACACACACACACACACACACACCAAAAGAAGGTGCAACCAGAGGTTACAACTCAACACGACTTGATAGCCCTTGCTGGTAGGTTGAGTAGGCAAAGAAAAGTAGTAAGGGTGAAAAGAAAATGCAGGTCATCTAAAATAGTTTCAAGGTCATGACATACAGTATGGTAAAGCAGACTTGTGGAAAGAACCCCAGGAAGAATGCAAAGGTACAGAAAACTGGGCATACCAGTATGCAGTAATAGAACCAGGAAAGAAAGCCCATAGTGAATCATGGTGTGGAGGTAAAACGTTAGGAAGCAGCTATAGACAGCTTCCTTGTTAGAGGTTTCCTTCCTCATGAATATCACTCAGAGCCTGGAAGGAGTCTGAACAAAAGGAAAAAAACACTCTTCATTGTTGAAAGAGTAAATGCAAAACCAGAATTAAACATAATTCTAGCTTGCTTCCACATGTATGAATTACCTCTTCCTCGAACAACTTGTCCTTCTGACGAAGGATTTTGTCATACAGGTTCCCTCCTGCAATTAAACAAGAAACAGGTTGAGTTGCTCAATGCAGAAAAAAGCTTGGATCCTGAATTGATAGAGGTTTTAAGAGGTAACATCAGGAAATGAAGGGTCCTGCTTCCTTTCCAAAGGAAATGATTTCTTCCCTCTTGGGTTTTTCACATAGGTACAAAATTCTTCCTATCTCCATGTCAGAAATGTTTGTCAAATGTCTCCTCCCCCAACACAAGAGTTTCAATACAAAAATGGGAACTATCCACTCTGGAACACCTGAGTAAAGATCACTCATGTGGCCGGGTGGTGGCGGCACAGGCCTTTAATCCCAGCACTCGGGAGGCCAGCCTAGTCTACAGAGCAAGTTCCAGGACAGCCTCTAAAACAATACAGAGAAACCCTGTCTCTAAAAACCAAAAAAAGAAAGAAGAAGAAGAAGAAAAAAAAAAAGGATTTCTCATATACCTCTAGGAAAACATTCAGAGTATTTTCTTTCTTAGACTCCCTTATACGGAATCTGCAGCATTTTTGTAGGACTTTTGCCAGCATGACTATTAGAACCTGTGGATTATACCTCTGATACATGGATTTAAAAATACAGTGTTTATCAACAACTTCTGCCTTGTACTGAAAAGGTTCTAAAATTTAGGGTCTACCCACAGATCACTTCAAGTTGTTCTTCCTTTTAAGTTATTATTTCTTCCTGTGGAATAAGTGTAAATTTCATCTTATTTCCTACACACAGCTCCAGTTTATGATTAAATTTTTACAGTTTTCCTCCCCTGTAATTCAGTAATGCATAGTGAAAAAAAACTGCATTTGTCCTAGTTCCTCTTAGCTACAAGGAAGTGAATTATGTAAGGCTTGTGCTATTTCAAGAATTACTTGTACACTGTGCAGAGCAGAAACAATCTCCAAACAGTGCAGATGAGTATGCTGGTACCTCTTTAGTGTGCAGCTCAGAAAAGGACTTTGGGGATTCTCCTGTACAATGAGACCGATAGATAATAAGGCCTGTATCAAACACTTGCTACATACCAAGTACTCACTTAATAAATCTTTAGAACCAATAATCCATTAAGATGAGGAAACAAGGTTGTTATTTTGCACAAGGTTACAGAGCAATGGAACTTAGGATGTGAGGTCAGCTGGTAGCTTTCTTTTTTAAAAAGACTTATTTATTTATTATGTAAACAGTGTTCTGTCTGCATGTGTGCCTGCAGGTCTGAAGAAGGCACCAGATCTCATTACAGATGGTTGTGAGCCACCATGTGGTTGCTGGGAATTGAACTCAGGACCTCTGGAAGAGCAGCAAGTGCTCTTACTCTCTGAGCCATCTCTCCAGCCCTGGTATTTTGTTTCTTAAACTAGGCAAAGTTGCTATCTATAAGAAAATTCATTCATGAAATCAGAAACCAGAAAAATAAGGCCACATCATATTATTGTTCTCATTCACTTATGATCTTTAGACCATTTATCAGCAAGATAGTGTTAATTGAAGTTAATGTAAATAAATATCCCCTATAAGATTTCATTGAATATTACATTGTTTGGTACTATGTTATATTATGTCTAAAATATTGAACTAATGTCATTCTATGGGGAAAAATCTCTGAAAAATGCAACTGAAAAAAATAATTTGGTTGGGTATTAGTGGTGCATGCCTTTAATCCCAGCACTCAAGAGGCAGAGGCAGGTGGATCTCTGTGAGTTCAAGGCCAGCCTAGTCTACAGAGAGTGCCAGGATAGGCTCCAAAGCTACATGGAGAAACCTTGTCTAGAAAAAAACAAAACAAAACAAAATAATAATAATAATTTGAAGAGCCAGGAGTGGTGGCTCACAATCTCAGCACTGGACAGAAGCAGGAGGCTGCTATCAGTTCTAGGCCAGTGTGGGTTGTTATATACTGAGTTCTCCACAAGCCTGAGATACAACAAGACTCACAAAACCAAACAACAACAACAAACCAGAAAGAACTTTCCCCAACAGCAGAACCCAGTAGTTTAAAGATTGCCAGAACTATACCTACAAGAAAGTGACAATGGAAGGAAACTCCCTTCCCACACTCTGAACATCATCTTGAAACAATCTAAGACCTCAACTATTTCTCTTTAACTCCAGAAATCCATTTAAAGTTTTGTCACTGTGCATCTTTTCTTAAGTCTTCTTCCTCACAGTAATATGCCCATGTGAATGTCTCCACTGAATTCTATCTTACCATTACAATATTCCAGCTCAATCAGCAGGGTGGTATTGTCCATGAAGTGATTGTAGTAGGCAATAATGTTGTCATGCTGCAACAGCGCCAGAATGACAATCTCATTCAAGGCATCACGACGTTCCTTTTCAGAAAGTCGGGTCAAATCAACTTCCTTCCACACCACCAATGAGTCATCCTACAACACAGTAGCAGGAGTATTGTGTTTTCTTCTTGCCTGGCAGTGCACGGGTCCATACCCAACCTGTGAGCCTAGAAAAAAAACCTCCTAGAGGGGCAAAGAATGACGCTTTACTTTTTCCTTTTAATACACTATAAAGGTTCTGCACACAATTATTATAATTCACTGAAGAACTAGAGGAAATAAGGCACTGAGGTATAATTTTCCGGCTTAGAGAGATGGTTCAGTGTTTGAGAGGGTGTATTGCTTTTGCAGAGGAATAGAGTTTGATCACCAGCATCTACCTTGGGCGGCTCACAAATGCCTGTAACTTTAGCTCTTGGGAGGACCTAGGTAGGATCCAATGTACCTGACCTCTGAGGGGACCTGCACTCCCTTGCACATACCCGTGTACAGACAGTGAATTAAAAATAAAACTAAATCCTAAAAACAAGAGGTTATTCTGAAGGCTGGTAAGATGGCTCAGTGGGTGAAGGTGCTTACTGTCAAACCTGATGACCTGAGTTCCAGCCCCAGGGCCTGTATGACGGAGGAACTGACTCCCACAAGTTGTCCTCTGATTCCTCCACACACATGCACAAAATAAGTACATGTAGGAAAAACATTTAAACATTACTTTGTTGCTACCCTTAACTTGCACAGTATCAGTTAAAGATAGAAGTACTAGATAAGACCAGCTCACAAGGATTCTACTGAGGGATGCTGTTTGTCCCTCGTCATAATGGGTTTGTGGAAGAGAAGCGCACAGAAGCATCTACAGCCGACAACAGATCCTTGTAAAGTCAAATATATGTATCTCCTCATAACCTGCAGTCACCTCCATGCACACTGACCTAACTCCATTTTGAGATGCTTGTAGTTCTTGTACACACTCCTTCCTAACCTATCAGCACCCTCACCTCTGTTAACATTCCTGTAGAATACCTCTGCAAGATCCCTAAAATTTCCTTTGGAAAACTTTGACCCTTTCACCGTGCTCGCACATTGGAGTCATTCTTATCTTCAGCACCCGTGCACTTAGAGTCCTCCATTCTTTTTCCTGACTCACACCCGCACCTGAATCCCTGGTTACTAACATGGCCGACTGGTCTTCTCACTGAACTATAACCTAGAGGGAAAGGGCTGCTTCTAATAAGCTTTGTAAATTCAGATTGAATAAATAGTGGGCGGTACAGATAATGCCATGTGGTTCTGAGGAGTGTGGTAAAAATGGAACTCAAAGCTAGTATTCCAAGAGATGTGAAACTGGGGCTATTGCCTGAGGTTTATTCTAAACCTTAGTAAGCCACTTAAATACACTGGCTTAAGTTCGAGGAAAAACAGTGATGCTCATTTTGAGCACAAATAAGAATACAGCTCATTACAGATGGCATTAATTCTAACACTGTTTATTAGTTAACACTATGTCTTTCTTCCCCCTTTCAGCCTTAGACACACATGCTGGGGCTGGAGGTGTGGCTCAGTGGTATCTGTCTCATCCCCAGCACACACACACACACACACACACACACACACACACACGCACGCACGCACGCACGCACTCGCACACACACACACACACACACACACACACACACACACGCTGGGAGCAGATACTAGAATTGCAAGTGGATGAATCACTTGTGCAACCTCGGCAGTTCTCATTAAATGTTTACCCTAAAGCTAGAGCTTTTAAGGCTGTAGTGATTAAACGCAATTTACGGTTAGTTTTTGAGAGCCGAATCATCACTGCAGCGTTTTAAATCAGTACATATTCTTAGTGTGGGGGTCAGTGATCCACGGGTCTCCTCAGGGGCTGTCAACTGATGCAAGAAGGTGGGAAGGACGCCTTGGCCTTCTCACGTTCTCAAGAAAGGGAACCTTGTTCCCCCATAGCTAAGAACTAACTACACCAATAAAGGATTTGCCTTATACAAACACTGAAGGATAGATAAGCAAGGAGGAAAAAAAAAAAAAAAAAAAAAAACAAGACACGATGATCCTCCCGGGGATCTAGAAAAATCCTTCAACTGGGTGACCATTTACGAACTTAAAAATAACGACACTACTAGCAGAGTTGGTGTCGGCGTGGGTATTCAGCAGCACATACCAACTCCCCACCCCGACCTTGAACAGCTACATGAAAGGAAGTAAGCTTTGGCAATAGCTGTTCGAAGTGTGCAAAGCACCTTCCTTTGGGTCTCAAAATAACCTTAAGAAAAGTAAAAGTAATATTTGTTTTAGAGTCGTTATTGCTAGGTCCAATTACAAATGGGAAAACAGCTCGCCCGGTGAAATAAAAGTGACAGTGATAGAGGTGATCAAACCAATTCCCTAGCGCAGGTGAACGAAAGCGCGGTGGAGCCCCGAGACATAAACCCAGTGGATGCCTGAACACAGAGGGCTTGGGGCAAGCGGGGGCCGGGGCGCGGGGCGGCCGGGGAGCGGGGCGCGGGGCGGCCCGGCAGTGGCCGGGGCCGAGGGCCGCTACCTCGGTGCGGCGGTACAGCGTGGCCTCCCCGAAGGCGCCGCGGCCCAGGACGCGGATGGGGATGTAGTGCAGCTCCTCCTGCTCCACCGCGCCGCCGGCTCGCGGCCCCGGGCTGGCGCTGGGCCCCGGGCCCGAGTCCCCGCCACCCCCGGACTCGCTTCCAAAGTCCGAGTTGATGGAATCGCAGTGTCGCTCGTACTCGCCCAGCACCGACATGGCGGAAGCCAGCGTATCCGCGGCGGGCGGCGCCGGTCGCGCAGCGCCTCACTCGCCTCAGAAGCCCGCCAGCGGCTGAGGCGGCCCCGCTGCCCGGCGAGCTTCCATGGTGGCTCCTGCCCCCTGGCCCGGAAGCAGTTCTCGGTGTTTCCGGCTCGCTGCGGCTTTCCTCCGCCTTCGCGCGCCCACTTGGTGCCGAGGAGCCCCGCCGGTCCACTCTTGTCTTGGTGTCGCAGTCACTTGCCTTGTTGCAAGGCCTCTTGTTTCACGAGACCACGGCAAGCTGAACACCTGGCTTTCCACATCTGAGTCGGCAGGCCCAGCTCTTCTTCACCACTCGTAAAATACCTTTTAAAAAAAAGTTTTTCAAGACAGGGTTTCTCCGTGTGACAGCCCTGGAGCCCACTCTGTAGACCAGGCTGGCCCCGAACTCAGCGCCGCCTGCCTGCGCTTCACAAATGCTGGGACTAAAGAAGCGCGCGCACCACCGCCCAGCAGCTCCTAAAATACCTTAACTCTGCTTTGTCTGTTCTCGCCTCCCTTCTCATCTTCCAAATGCTGCATAATCGGATGTGGTTTTGCACATCTTTGACAGTCTGGTCTAATGATCTAACGAAGCATTCCCGAAGCACCGGGGCCGGAGAACAGAGACTGGTGCTCCCTACCCACGAGTCCCCAGGGGAACTGCAGTGCCGTCAATACAGTTTCATCACTATGTTACTCCATACCTACTATAAACGTAACATCGTTTTCCCCCTACAAAGTTGCAGTGCTGTTACCTACACCACAGGGTTGCCTATGCATGCTGACGGGGACTATGTAAGCTGAAGGTTTTATTTATATCACGGCCCTCAATTTCACAGTACCATGGAACAAGGTGTCTGCGTCGGGATCGGAGGCACCTTGTTTAGCATGACACAGCTAGCTAAGAGGAGCCTGAGAGTCAAACCCAGCAATCAAATCCGGGGAAGGGCAGGATGTGACGAGACTAGGAGGTTGGGAGCCTGCCCACCGCGCGGTTGGATACAAGTACAGCTTTGTGTGCTGTACTGTTTGACGCTTCCTGTGGACGGTGGGAAAATGATTGGAGACTTTGAAGCACTATATGACGAGGCTCTACGTCCCAAATATGTGTGTGTGTCCTGGAACTCGCTCTGCAAACCAGGCTGGCGTCACAGAGATCTGCCTGTCCACTACTACCCAGCTATAAAAATGTAAATTATATATGCAGCTCATATATGGGACATCACCAAACAATAATTTATAAAATATGTATTAACTACAACAAATATGCCGTGATTTTATTGAAAGAAGTTCATTTGTAAGTTTTTAAAAAGGTTTTATTTCATGCATGAGTGTTTTGCCTCCACGTATGTACATGCAGTTTGCAGTATGTGTATATCCGGTGCCCACAAAGGTAAAAAGAGGGCATTCCTGGAACGAGAGTTACCATGTGGCTGCCAGGAACCAAACCAGGGTCTTCTGCAAAGTAGCAAGTGCTCTTTACCACTAAGCCATCTCTCCAGCCTCCACTTAAAGTTTTGTCAAATTCAGTATGCTCTCTAAAACACCAGCGAGACAACACTTTGGTGTGTCTGTGTCTGTGCGGGTATACACGCAGACATCAGCGAGACAGCACTTTGGTGTGTCTGTGTCTGTGCGGGTATACACAGACATCAGCAAGACAACACTTTGGTGTGTCTGTGTCTGTGCGGGTATACATGCAGCGGCTAGAGGTCAACCTTAGGCACCATCCCTCTCGTTTATGATTCAGGACCTAAAGCTCCATGATTAGGCTACGACCAGAGGTCAATGAGCCACAAGGACTCACTTGTCTCCGCCTTCCCACACTGGGATCATAAGCACAGGCCACATATTATATGTATGCTCAGCCTCTTATACGAGCGCTAGAACCAAGCTCAGGCGTTCATGTTTCTGTGTCATGCCCTTTACTGAGGTATCTCTGCAGCTCTGCACTTTTTGATGTTAAAAATATACTTGGCCAGGCATGGTGGTTCACCCTTGCTGAGGCAAGAGACTGCTACGAGTTTGGGGCCAGTTTGGTTTACATAGAGATTCTGTTTTTAAAGAAAATCCCCCAATATTGGGAAACACTATTTAAAGTGGACTCACAGTAGACTGTGGATTAACTAATTGTGTGTGTGTGTGTGTGTGTGTGTGTGTGTGTGTGTGTGTGTGTGTGGGGCCAGCTAGTGATCTACAGAACACTTCATGTTGGTTTTTAGAAAGAAGATTCATGGGGAGATGGAGAGATGGCTCAGTAGTTAAGAGTACTTGCTGCTTTTCCAGAGGACCCGGGTTTGATTCCCATGGCACCTCACGACTGTCTGTAACTCCAGTCCCAGGAGATCTGACACTTTTCTGGCTTTCAGCTTCTCCAGGTGTGCAGTCATACATGTAGGCAAAACACCCATACATATAAGAATAAATGAAAAGTTAAAGGAATATTCATGAAAAAATGTTAAAAAGTGAAAGGGGAAGAGAAACTGCTCTTTTCTGTCTGGGGTGCAGTTTACTCAGATAGGCCAAAATTGTAAATAAAGAATACTTCAGGGTTGTAAACTGAGAGGGGTATTTCCAGGGCAGAAGCAAGGGCAAACTCTGGTGAGACAACTCCAGTGGTAGCAGCAAGAAAAGACACTACAGAGCAGTGTACAGACCTGACCCATCCCTTCTGATGACATACAAGGAATGATAAGTGACATACGAAATATATGTATGTAAGGGTTTACTAGTTCACATACAGTGTTTATCCATGTGGAGTAAATTAGGGACGACATTTTCTTCTTTAATTCATGTTTCATTTACTTCACCTTAAAAAGCAATACAAAGGAATCGAATCGTTGCTAACTCAGACAAAAAAAAGCACTAAAGAGTAATAGCAAAGTACACCTCAAATGGTTTCTGCTAGCCTTTATTTGTGAAAGTTTACACAAAAATCTCCAACAGGTGAGTCTGTATAAATCCCACATGCCTCTTTCCATTAACAGACAGCAGAACGGCTCTAACGGGGGCTCATGACAATGCAATGGTATATAACAAGGTTTGTTCAAACTGTTACTCTAAGATCATCTTGAATGTGCTGAAAACAGAGGGCAGCAGATAACATACCTGTTTATAAAGCTGATATGCTTCTGTGCTAGCCTGTTGTCCAAGGCAAATGCTCTTCAATTAACTTTGTAACTGAAAACACAATGTCCAAGTTGGTTGTTTTTGGCATGAATCAAAACAGAGAAAAGGACTTGAAAGAATTTCAGTTCTACTAAGCTTTAGAGCTGTACTTGGAAAGAAAAAATATGGACAAAATACTTATTTTACTTTCTCCTACCTTCTTTGACATTTTTCAGAACAGAAAACCCTAACTAACAGAGTAATTTCATTGCTTCTTAAAAGGGGGGAAGGCACAAGTCAGAAATAGGAGTCTCTTGTTAGACTAATGGCACAGACCACAGTTTTGCATTTAAAAGTCTACAGATGGATTTTGACCCAAAACTTTGTTTATTCTTTTCCTACCTGAATTGTTCCTCTATCACTTGATATATGAACACTGCAGATTCCTGAACATCTGCTGTTGCTGTGGTGAGGACTCAACACTAAATTCTTAAAAGAGAGACTACCACTTCTCAACTGCAGATGGCAGTGTTGCACCAGAGAACACATCATGCCACGCAAGAGGAATTTACGTGAGTCAGAAGACAAAGGCTTTTGAGTTTACAGTAACTGGGACCTTAACAAAATAGCCTGAGACTGTGATAACTTAAATCATTCCCTTCCCCTTCGTACTTCATCCAGGTCAACTCAACAGTGTTCTCTGATAACTTCAATACTCCACTTCTTTACTGCAAGCAACATGGGCTGAAGTCCTGTAATTCTCAGCTCAGCAATTAAGACAAGCCCTTGACAGGTCAGCAAGGTTTAAAGATTACAGAAAGGATGAACTCCTACTTACTTTCCTGGGAGAAGTGGGAAAGATATCAGATGACAAATGAGTATGTTTCCTGTTTACAAACGCTGTACAACTTTCCTCTGGTGCTGGGGATCAGGTCCAGCGCCTTCCATATGTTAGGTAAGCACTCTATCACCGAGGTTCACTCTCAGCCCACATCTCCTTTGTACATTAGATTTGGCCTTGAGGTACCTAATACTCCCAACAACTGAACCTTTTACAACACATACTTTCAAGTATTTACCTTTCTAAAACTTTCTTAGATGTCTATTTAAACCCCGGATGTCCAATTCTCTAGAGATTAGGACAGGAGTTAAGGACATATAAGGACAGGATTATAAGTCAGTGACTGGCCATGAATGAAGGGCTGGTAAAATATACTTATTTCTCCCTGGTAGAAGTTATGTGAAAAATTCAAGCAACCACATGTCTGATAGAGGACCTACACAAAACCCAATAGTGACACGAACAAATGATCCAAGTAGAAAATGGGCAAAAGCCATGAACAGACATTTCACTGCCAAGGGCATACAGATGGCAAATGACTAGCACACAAAAGACTGGTCAACACCATTCACCACTAGGAAAAGGCAAATTAAAACCATAATGAGATATTACAGGCACCTATTCAAGGAGCTAAGTTAAAACAACAATGATAAGAAGTACTAACGAGAATGTGGGAACATAACATGCTGTGGTCACTCTAGACAAGAGCAGGGGAGTTTCCTTAAGAAACTACTTCCCACACAGCATAGCCATTGCCCTCTTAGGCATGCATCCCAGAGCGGTGAAAACTCACATTCACGTAAGAACCTTACTAGTTAAGGGCCAAATCCCCAAACCCACCCCTATGACCTAAGGACAATGCAGTGCCATCCAGAGCCTGGAGGAGTATGAGCAATGAAAGGAGGCAACTAGCAATACATGCAACAACCTGGAGGGACACTTTCTTTATGGTAGCTCTGCTGAGCGGGAAGTGACCTCCAAGGCTACACTCTTGATGATTCCATGTGCATGACAAGGTTACAGAAATGGTGAGCAGACTGGGGAGCCGGGGCAGGAAGGGGGCGGCTATGAAGGGGCGGTATGCAGAGCACACGATGGACCACTCCAGCTTGAGATGATCACTGGGATCTACACGTGACACACTGAGACAGGACTGAACACACACACACA